TGCTTTAAGGTCCCTTCCAACCCAAACCCTCCTCCTGTGATTCTATGGGAAGAGATGCAGGGTGGATTCAACCCTCCTCAAACCCCTGTGCTCACCTTGAGAAGAATGTAGGTATTTTCCCACCCCTTAATTCAAGTCAGGAGAGTGGCCCAATTTTCACAGCTGAATTAAGCTTGTTCAACTTAGCCCCAAAGATTAAAAAGCAGCAGCATTTTGGACCGATCCCCTGTCAGGAAATCACAGCCAGGGCTCACTCAGGACTTGGTGCCCCAGGGGAGAAGCAGAAACCCTGGCAAGGTTGGGGTATGGGCCATGATCCCCCCCAGGTCATTTCAGACTCCAGCATTGCTGGTCCCCAACTTCTGTTTCACCCTACTCACAGGCAAGAAAAGCCATGGAATTTTCTATCATGTAAAAAAACAGGTAGGCAAGATAAAAAAAATGTATTTTCTTATTTCTTTAGTAGGTTACCCTAACAAGAACATCCCCCTGGGGCCTGGGATGTGTGGCACACCAACACAGAGCTCTGCATTTCCTGGGCTCTCCTTTCCCTTTTGCCATCACACATGATTTTTTCTCTTCAGCACTGGGGCACAATGACTACAGGTTTCCAATGAACAGCCTACAGCAAACCCCCAGGTCTATTTTTCCCCTCTGCATCTTCCCAAATAACACAACACCCATTCATGGGTATGAATAATTCCTTACAATTTCTCTTAGAGTACAAATAATTCCCTTATAATTCCTCTTCGGCTCGTCTGCCGTTACATCATCCTGTCCGTGTGGGCAGTGAGTATTTCTGGCCTCTCCGTTTTTCTGACTCCAGCTCTATTCAAGCCACCTCACCTCTCTCCCTGTAATTAGTAACAGGCTTTTCCATCACAAAAGTTGGAAGTTTCGTTGAACTGTTGAAATCCAGCCCATTTCAAACAGTTTTTTTGTGCAGCACAAGTTGCCACAGGACATTGAGGCCAAGACTTGGAAAGATTTTTTCATCCTTTTGTGCAAGGCATCACCTGGAAGGCTCTAAAACAAGAAAACAGCAGTAACCCAAAGCAAAGGCTGGCAAAGTGTGTGTTGGCCAAAATGCACTTCATGCTCCCTGAATTATCTTTTATCCTGAAAAAGAGCTGAGCTATCTTTCCTAGAAGCCAAGCATCACAGTTCACATGAGAGTTTACTGACCTACAGGCTGTGCATTGTGTTAGAGGAGAAAATATCCACATTATTTACATACTTGAGGGTAGTTTGTTCCATGTAATCACAGAAGCTGAAAATCCCTTCTAGCAAAAGGGCTTTTTGCAGGATGTGGTTGGTTAGAGCTCCAAGTTTCACCTTTTGAATTATGATCTCTTTTGCAGGCTATGGATTAAGTATGTGTATATACACTCAGATAATGCACACAGCCTGGTGAGGGCTTGTTTTTGTCGCTGATATTTTTTATGAGAGGGAGAAAAAAAAATATCATCAAATCATAAAATCATAGAATGGTTTGGATTTGGAGAGACTTTAAAATTCACCTTGTTCCAACTACCTGCCATGGATAGGGACATTTCCCACTAGACCAGGTTGCCCCAAGGCCTATCTAACCCAGCCTTGAACACTTCCAGGCATGGAAGATGGGAGATTTTGTGGAAATGTTTTAAATTCTTTTAGTATTCTGCAGCCAGTGCTGCAGGATAGGAAGGGCAGATCCAAGTGTCTCTTATATTTTCTTAATTCCCACTCTGACCTGCCCATCTAGAGATGCTCTTGCCCCTTTCCCTGACTGTTCCAAAGTCATTTGATGAGACAAAAATACATCAAGAAATATTTGCACAAAGGCAGACAGACCAACAGAAAGTATAGAAGAAAAGCAGAACTAAGAGAACTTCAGGAAAATATTTCCTGGACTACTTCCTAACCAGGGTGCTGGGGAGGCATTTGGATAAAAGCAATAGCAAATCCTTTGCAACTAATTAAAACCATCTATTGCAAGCAAAATTAAAATGCAATCTGCACCCTGCCCACTGTCCCAGCAGAACTGCTCTTTGCCTTGATTTCCAAGCAGGACAAAGAGTTTGTTCTTTAAAATAGGGCTGTGAGAGGTGGGACCTTGCACCTCTGAATCACTGTGCAGATGCTCAGCTGATGATGGGAAAGAAATGGAGCAAACCTTGGTTTTGGTAGTACTCCCTCATTTCAGAGCAAGAAACTTCTCTGTCTTTGCAGGAGCAGCTTTTATTTGAGGGAGAAAAGATGACTTTGGGTTTGGCAGATGCCTGAGGAGTCCCTGGAGGAAAAGCCAGCAGATGGTGCTCAAGGATGAAGCCAAGGTGGGATGTTCCTGGGTGTCCCCATGTGTCACCAGGGACCCGCAGCCAGCCACCCTGTGCTTTGCCCGAATCACACACGGGCAAAATCCACAGAAGTTTCCTAAGTCAGGGTAGAAATTGCCCAGGTGTGAGGCACATCAGAAAAGAGATGCAAAATTTAACCACACTCTGCCAGTTTCACTGGATTTTTTTTAAGCTGGGACCCTCATTCTGGCGGTGGGAGGACATCAAAGTCACCTTTGCATCCTAGAAATGATGTAGCACACAGAGCTTTTAATTTTTTTCATGGGTAGAAAGAGAATTCCTCAAAACCCTCTTCCTGACTCATAGCATTAATCACGTCTAGTTATTAATGCACCAGGGAGGAAATATTGCTAAACTTAGTCCCAGCTGCCTCTAGAAATTACCAGTGTGATGTGATCCAGCCTTTTACTAATTATCAGAGGGTTTGTTTGGTGTCTGGGGGTGGAAAGAAATCTGTCTCTGCAGATGTAGCCCTCTCCCCAGGGGGATCACCCACCCCCAGACTCCCACAGCAGTCACAGCCTGGGTTCCCATGATGGAAAGATTGTAAAGGGTCATGAGTGAAAGGGGGAAAAGATAACCCCACCCCAAAATGCCCTGAGCATCCTGTCTGGCTGCTCCCCCATTACGTGTCAGTGATAAAGCCCCTTTTTGGAAAGGAGAATCTTCCAGCTTGGTTATTACAGCCACAGAGGCAGTCAGATGGGAATTGAAGAGCTCTTGCAGCTTCATTTAATTACTGGAGCACTTTTCAAAATTAAAACCATGTTAAGACAAAGGAAAAGAAAAAAAAAAGAAGAAATGCTAACAGCACGAAAAGAAATCAATCAAACTGCCGAGTTAATGGTGTTCTCAATTGAGCTGTGATAGGCACACAACACAGCTCACACACATTTCACCAGTGTTGTTACATTATTTATCTGGAATTCTCTGACTTGGCTGTTTATCACTACTGTTCTGGGGGTTCATGGAGCTTTCCTGTGGTTTGTTCTTTTGCTTTTTTTTTCAGTCAATTAAAGTGTTTCCCTGCACTCCCTCATTGCCACACAGAAAACTCTGGTTTTCTAGGCAGATCTGAAAAAAAGGCAACTCAGATCCCAGCTGCATACTGCTTACCATTGGTGGTGGCAAACTGGAACCACTGGTGGATATAATTCTTTATTACAATAGCAACTGTAGCCTTAAGTTCTTGCTTTACTGAATCTCAGAATGGTCTGGATTGGAAGGGACCTTGAAGACCACCTTGTTCTGTTCCACTGCAATGGGCAGGGACATCTTCCAGTAGACCTGGTTGCTCCAAGCCCTGTCCAACCTGGCCAGGTCCACTTCTAGGGATGGGGCATTCCAGCTGAGCTCTGCCCAACAGCTGAAAGCACCTGGAAAGACCTTTTGTTTGGATGCTTCTGCCCGCATAATGCTCCTCCATCACATGTCTTTTAGCAGCTGTCCCTCACCATGGTCGAAAAAAAAATAAATTAAATATTAAAATAAAATAAAATAAGCTCATTGTAGAACCACTTTCCAGTGGTTCCTGTTTCCAACACCCTCCGTTCAGTGCCCACTGCCACCCAGTGAGGAGCTGCAGCTCCCTTTTGCCAGGCTCATTTATTATTTGGGAACTCCCTGCCTGTAAGCTCCAGCTTGACAGATTTTGGAGGGGTGGCATAACGCCCTGCTTGCCTTTGGGCACAAGGCTGGGGAGTTTCTTCACTGTGTCTTCAGTCTCTGCCAGCAGCACGCCAAGCACAATTTCTAAAATTTCTAAAAGGAGTTATTGCCTCAGTCCAAGGGCTCAGCATTTCCCTGAAGTATTCCAGCTATTTCTTTATGTGGCTGGTCTTTCAAACAGCACAAACCCAAGAGCAAACATCATAAATCCCCCTTTGAAAATAAAAGAACTTGCCTGTTTGATTCCAGGGACACCATCTCCACTCCAGCCTTGTATGGAATCAAGCAAGAGATAAGAGTTAAATTTTCCATACCAGCATTTATTGCAAAACACAACCCAGTCCAGCCTGAAATGTTCCACTTTGGCTAGTGGTCTGCTGTTGCTCAAGACACAGGAATAAAATTAGCCCCGAATTTATTAGGCTCTGCCTAATGAAAGGTTAAAGTATTCTTTCACTTCACATATATTAAAAAAAATTCTAAAACTGCCCGTTGGGAGCTTGCAGACTGGATTTGCTGCCTTTTAAACTTTTCCTTTTAAACCTATACATCTTTTAAAATAGTTATCCTTATGCTAAGGTGTTAATTTTTATTTATAAGTTATGTATAACATAAAACTAAACCTATATATCTTTTAAAATAGTTATGCTAAGGCGTTAACTTCTATTGATTAGTTTTGTATAACATAAAACCCCCACTTCTGCCTCCCCTATAAAAACCTGCTGTTGCATTTCAGTGGGAAGGTGGCCAGAGAAGAGACTCTCTCCCCGTGTGCTGGTGTTACAACCACTCAGGGAGAGAGGCTGTGCTTTACCCAGCCTCGGGCATCTCGGAGCGGTGCTGCTCCGGAACTTGGTATGGTCCTTGGCACATCCCGACTCCTGCCAGCATCCAGGACCAGCCTTTCCCCGCCGAAAGACATGGTTTAATCAGCTTCCTCCAATCCCACAGGGCTTTGTTTTTTTGGTTTTTATCTTTCCTCTTTTTGTTGTTGTTTTTTTAAAAATTTAAATACCTATTTCTCGCCCACAAGGGAGCAGCGCTTTGGACGCGGCAGGGCCAGCGCGGAGAGGGGGAAGCCGCAGAGCGCGGAGGCGTCCCCCGAAGCGGGGCGGACTTGGTGTGATGAGCAGCTCTGACCTCAGCCCCGGCAGCGCCAGCACCAACCATCTGGATCCCATTTGCGACGCCCGGCCCCCGGCACTGCCGAGCCAGCTGCCTCCCCCGGCCTCGCTCAGACCCACGGCAGCCGCCGCGCAGGGACCAGCGTCCCAGCAGTGCCCCCGTCCCGCTGGTGCCCCGCCGTTCCCTCACCCCAGCACCCCACCGAGCACGGCCAGACGGCGCTGGGAAGGCTGAGCAGACCGCTCGCCATGAAGCAAGGGTGAGAGGAGCTTCAGGGCGGAAAATCCTGGAGTAAGCAACTCTTCTGGAGGTTCATTCAGGGGTAAGTGCTGCTTTCCGCGTGGGAGCCCTCAGCCTAAGCTCAGCAGCTGCTAAGGCATGGTTCTTCTCCTTGGCGGGGTGGTAGTATTTGGGGGTTTTTCAGCCATTCCCAGGTTCGCATCACTCTTAGAAAAGCGGAGCGATGCTGCCGGCTTGTTCAGCCCGTGAGCTCCTCCCCGGAGCTCATGCACCACAGGTGTGTGGGAACACTCCTGTCCCCATCGCTGCAGGGGAACTAAACCCATACAAAAGCACAGACCAGTGTATTTCCCCTGCTGCCTCAGGGTGGCTTTTGGATTAGATGCTTCAGAATCACTGCAGAAGCAGTGTGATGAGATGGGAACAGGATGACACGGGAAGCAGTGCCCCAAGGAGGGCATGTGGTGGTTTGGGAAGATGTATCAGCACAAGGAGATGGGGACATCAATGGTACCTTGCAAGGAACGTGCTGAGGGGCTATCTCAGTGCCCCTTTCCTGCTCCCAGGGCTGGGGGTGTTGGATAGCTGCCCTCACACCTTCTGTCGCAAGGGGAAGTAGGATGAACCCAGCAGAGGTGCTCAGCTGTGCTGTTTCAGGTCCTGCTGCCAGACATGTTCCCACTGCTCTGGGGTGGGCCAGCATGTGGCTCCAAGGATAACCCTCATCCTCTTGTGGTCATCTACAGAGAGGGAAATTAGCCAAACAGCAGCTTTTCCCCTAAGGGAAAGGGCTCTCCAGTTGTGTATGGAGCCACCATCCCTCTCCACAGCTCCCGTCTGCTCTTCCTCCTGCCTTCCCCAGCCCTTTCCCCCCACAGCCCCCATTTCCCTCAGCCTCCTGGGACTTGCTGAGGGGTGGTTATGACTAATCTGGAGACACCCTGCCATCATCCCACTGGGCTCAGCAAAGCCCTGCCTTTCCAAGCAGAGCTGGGGCGAGAAATGCTTGTGGCCAAACTGGTTTCCTGACCAAGCAAAAGGGCCAAAACTGGCTGGCATGGGGGTAGCCAAAGCCCCTCTGGTTCCAGTGAGTGCAATGGGAAACTCTCAGCTCATTTCTGGTTGCTGTGATGATTCACGTGCATTCGTGGGGGAGGAATCCTTCCTGCGTTTTTCAAAATTCTGGCTTTGCCCCATTTCTTGCTGGTTTAGGGAAAAAAGAATCAGTATTTGTGGTTGGGTAATTATGGTGCTTATGTAGTGATGCTTCTGGGGCAAAATACCCAGTTTAGGAGGTTTGTAGAGAGATGCTTCTGGACTAAGGCTTTTACAGGGAGCTGGAGAATTCCTCCAAGGTCATGTAAGAATGCAGTGGCAGAGGAGAGACTCAGCTCCACATCTCCCTGGCACCATCCCTTCTGTCAGCGCTCAGGGAAATATGCTTTTCATGCCCAAACATTCTCTGTCTTTGCAGAGAAGTTGACCATGACCAGGGCTGCGACAGTGTTTAAAACAGGAGTGCAGGGCTGCGTGCTTGCTGCCACCACACCATCGTTCATTCATTCCCTCTCCAGTTTCCAGCACCCTTCCCAGTCCCTTTTCTGGTTTTTCAAACATCTCTATGATTTTCCATTCAAACTCAGTAACTTTCCCTGAGTTCTGGGTGAGCTAAACCAGCCCCTGCTTTATTCCCACATGTCAAGAAGGGGAAAAAAAAAAAAAGTTCCTCTTCTACTTTTGCTACGTGCCTGTCCAGGAACAGGAGGGAACATCTTATTCCTTCCATCAGTACAAGCTGTGGTAACTGCACAGCCTTGCCAGCCTTGGATTGTGTTCCCCACTGGATTTCCAGCAAAGGGGTGAGCCTGGCCTGGGCTGGGCGTGCACGGCGCCGGGTGGCATTGCGTGCCTGCTCCCCGCCGTGAATCACAGCCAGCCTTACCCCTCCACATGCCCATCACTTTTTCCACCTTTTTAAGTGATCTGTGTTCCACATTAAGGAGCCGATTTGTTTGGGTGGAGAGGCTCTGGGAGGCTCCGGTTACTATACATAAAGACTCATTGATCTTTGAGGGAGTTTCCTCTTTTTTTTTTTTTTTTTTTTTTTTTTTTAGCAAATACTCCCTTTCCTCTTATTAATGACTCTATTTTGGTCTCAGTCTTTGGATGGAGAAAATAACTAGATTTTAAGCCAACGGCATGCTTAGAAGGACAGCAATGAATATGTGATTCATATTAAATTCTAGCACCCAGGGAACTTGCCTGGGTAGAATATAGTAGCACTGTAACTCTATTGCTTTGCTGAACACTGGTTTTCAAAAATCAGAGTGCCAGTGGCTTGCAAAAGCAGGGAGATTTTTTTCCACCCTTTCAGGCTTCTTCTTTTTTTTTTTTTTTAATGTTCAAGTCTGCCTTTGTAGGAATAAATTTTTTCAGGGGCAACCCTCAACCCCACAAGCCTCACCTTCCCAGTAACACTTGGCAGCAACATTTACGCTTCAAAAGAGCTGAGACAAATCTTAATGTCTCCACCTGGAACCATGAACAAATCCAGGATCTGTCCTGTTCAGCTCATCCTGAGTCTCTAGAACTAGCTTTGCTTCTCTGAAGGGCTGTGGATCCAATTGGAATAGGGTTCTGTGATGAAGGGGTGGCCAGGCAGGGGACACTTCTGTCCCTTGGAAAAGGTGACTAAGGTGGTTTTTTTTTTGTTTTTTTTTTTGTTTTTTTTTTTAATGCACGGAAAAAATCATGGCATTCAGCCTCAAAATCATGCTGGGAGTGGCTTTTGGCTATCGTTTTCCCCAGCTCAGGGAAATTTATGGGGGAATTCATCCAGGCAAGCGAGGAGCATGCCTCACCTCCAGAGGGCAATCTGCAGCTCCCTAGCTGCACATCTGGATTTTGGGAGCTGGTTCTCCCAGCTGCTCACTCCACAGCCATGAGTGCAATCGCATCCCACTTCTGGGGATGCAAGTAATTGTTCTGGCTGCCTGGTGTCCACTTCCATGCCACTGGCAGGGCTTACAACTGCTGCCCCCATGGCTGTGTGTACAGCAGAGAACAGCCAAGCCAAGGGAATTTGAGGCTGAGCAGTTTGGTTGGAAACAGGGTGATGATGGACAAGGGAAAATCCCCACAAAGCAAATGCAGGTGAAGGCAGAAGCCTCTTTGTTTTGGCTCTGACATCCCCATGAGATACTTCTGGAGGGGTCTAGCGGATGCTCACAGCATCCTGCACCGCCTGTGGGTTGATGCTTTGCTCTCCTGTCCCCCTTTCAGAAAAGCTGTTGGGACCCAGCTGCAAATGCACCTCTTTTTCCCATGAGAAAAGCATGATCTACCCCACAAGCACCAGGGCATTTAAGGGCTGTAATTGCTTCTCAGGTTTTTAGTCAATATATTTTTTTGGGGATGCTGCATGGCCGGGTAGGAAAACTGGATAGATATCCTGTGATTAGGGGCAGTGAGGCATTCCAGAGGTCCCTGGGCATGGCAGCTGGGAAAGCTGCACAAGGCCAAGCTCAAATCCAGGCCATTTGTCCCCAGAAAATGCCTACCAAGCTTGCCGTGCTCTGCTCCTTCCCAGAGGCTGCTCAGCTTTCCAGCAGGAATGTGTCGCAGGAACGGGGAGATTATGGGAACAAATGTTGTAAATACAATTCCAAAATGGTTTGGGTTGGAAGGGACGTTAAAAACCATTTTGTTCCAACCCCCTTCAACACTTCCAAGGAATGGGGCAGCCACAGCTTCTCTGGGCATTCTGTATGAGGACCTCTCCACCTTCACAGGGAAGAATTTCTTCCCATTATCCCATCCATTCTATTTTAACTACACTCTAGTGAAAAAAAAACCCACCCCAACACACACAAGCAAACAACTGTTTAGAAAGTGAATTTATAACATCTACTCAAACAAAAAAAAAAATGTAAACCACCAATTTTTATGTGCAGAGAAGTATGCAATATATGCAAAAAATAGCTGCTGGGGAAAATATTTAAGGAAATCACTTCATTGTGTTGGAGGTAGAAATGATTGCTTTTTGAGAGCAGTATTAGGAACAGATGTATTTCTTCTGATGAAATACTGTAATATTAAGAAGTCTGCACACACTATATAAACTCTAGACAGACATAAAACTTTCAGATTATTGAAGGCTACAGGAGTTAATCTTTTAGCACATAAATCATGAAGAAATTGGCTTCCCAGTCTTTGGTGCTAACCTAATTCAGGAAAACTCTTTCCTTTCCTAAAGGAAAGGAATCAGGTTTTTCAGCATATTTTTCCAGCTTGAAATGGATATAGCATAAGCTTCACAAGAGCTTTCATCCCACAGGCCTGAAAAGAACTTTTCACTTAAAAGATGAAATAAATCTACAATTAAATTGCCTTGTTGAAAATACATTATTGAAAACCCAACAATGCCAGAGAATAAAGCTGCAAAACAAATACTTACCATAACCAAGTTTTAAAATGATTTCACATCTCTGGTTTTATCATCCATCCCCTGCAAGCTGGTGCCACCTCCAGCTTCTGTGACTGGTGGTAATTTGGGACACAAAGCAAGAACACATTGAGCAACGGAAATTACTTCTTGTGCCTCACTTAGGCAAGCCAAGCAATAAAAATCGCATTATTCATTGTCTTAAACCACTTTTCTCACTGAGCCAGAGACTTCGCCCAGTCAAAACAGAGCTGGGTAAAGTTTTGGGTGAACTCTCCCATCCAAGGAAAGAAAAAATAAATTACCCCACCCACCTAACCCCCACTACATTACCTTTAGACAAAAGGTTGCTGTCCTTGCTGCATCTTCTTCTCAAGGGCCATCTCCTAAAGGAAAATCATCTCCTTGCCCACCCCTTTCTGCAAGCACTGAACTCTTCCTCATTAGCTAATGAGTGCCATGGAGAGGGGGCTATAAGAGAAAATCCTGCTCAGAAGCAGCTCTTCTTAGAGGCTCTTCTTTTCCTTAAGCTGTCAACCTCTAAGAGACATCCATCACCTTTTCCTGCAAGACTTTGCTGCCTTTTTCCTTCTGATGACTATTCCTGGCTCCTATGAGTTTAGGATGGTTTTGTATGATGCTAAAACTCATCTCTTGTTGATGGACAAGTCCCTTTGTTTTTACAGAACTATAAATACCATGGTGGAGGTCACAGAGAAAGCTGGAGATAAATCTGGAGGCCTCCTAAAAGAGAAAATGGGGAATGAGGTGAATAGGCTGCTCAGGGAGTGGTGGAGTCTCCATCCCTGGAGGTGTCCGAGGAACACATGGATGTGGCACTCAGTTCTCTGAGCTGGACTTGGTCTTGGAGGTCTTTTCCAAACTAAAAAATTCTGTGGAAAATCTCAGCTTCCCACTGCTACGGGAGTTCATGGGTGATGCTGTGGGCAGGGGAGATTCCAAGCCTCAGGGAGTTTCACTCTTCCCTTAGGCTACATCTCATGGCTGTAAACAGGCTCTGAGCAGCTGCTTGACATTAAAACCAAAAAAGCCCCCAAATGTTTGCTTCAGTCCTGTCACTTTTTAGCCAGCAATACATCAATTTTCACTGGTTTATCTTGATGCTCTGCTCATCCTCAGCTGTTGTGTCTGAAGAGGGATTGGCTGCCAGCAGCTAATAAACAGGATGATAACATAACTTCCTGCAGTTTGGGAAGGAAATATGAGCAGTTTTACAGCACACATTACTTTAGTGGGCTCTTTTCCTTAGAATGCATTTTATTTCATACTTTTCATTCAGTGCTAGCAGCTTTTTCACTCTGTAGCATCCCACCCTTAAGGGGGCTCCCAAGATTTGTAGATGCTCATGGTTGAAAGAAAAGACAAAAGTGAGAGGGCTTACAAAAGCTTACAAAGCTTTATTAAAAAATGACACACTTGGCATGGAATTTGATGTGTTAGTTGCTGATCTCCCTGATCTCAGGATAAGCATGTGGCAGCGGCTTTTGTTGAAGGACAGAGTGAAAGGAAGAGAGAAAGGGTGATGGATTAAAGAGGGAGAGACTGAAAGGAAGGGAGTGAGATCACCATTCCTGACTCCAGCATTGATCCAGCTGATGGGGTATGGAGGGGCACAGATGCACCTGGGCTTCATGGCTGTACCTTTAACAACTACATTTTCCCCTCCCTGGAGAAAAATTTCTTACTTTCTATGCAAACTAGCTAACATGTGTTTCCTAGAACTTTCTTGAAATGGGTCAAGGGACTCCAGAGGTCTTCCTGCTTCCCATTATCCCTGTGCTGTGCTTATCTCCTCCAGCCAGAATTTGTCCCATAAAGTGCTGCCTTGCCTCTGTGTGGCCTTTTCTCCAGCCACATGTGTTCTTTCCCAGAGTGGGTAACAGCCCACAATCCTTGGTTGTCATCACCAGCCATCCTTTGTTGGGTGCAGAGGCATGAGGATTTATTTGAGACATACACATCTTGAATCAGAGAACCATGGAATATCCTGAGCTGGAAGGAAGCCATAAGGATCATCAAGTCCAACTCCTGACCCTGCATAGGACACCCCAACAATCCCATCCTATGCCTGAGGGCATTGTCCAGCACTTTAGGCTCTTCTGGGCTTCTATACAATCCCAATGGATGCTGCAAGCAGGTCCCACTCAAAAACTTGCAGCTCTTCCATAAATTTCTTCCCAGAGGGAAGACTCTCCCATAGGGTTGGGTGGATGGTTGTCATGAGCTTGGTGCTTTTTGCAGAACTCAGCTCTGGGACCTACAGACCCTTCTGTATTTGTGTACTCAGGGGACAAACCCTCTCCATGCATCCTTTGGGTGAAACTATTTTTTCTGGGAGCAAGATGCCCATCAGGGACACAGTCCATCTGAACAGGTTTGCTCCTGCTGGAGGCACTGGGAGGTTTGGCTTGCACTGGAACAGCCAGCTCACAAAGGTGATGGTTTAGTCTCTTCAGGAATGACAGTGATACCTCTGGGCTGCAGCAGCTGACTCTATAAATTGCAGGGTTACCAATGAAAAGGAAGACTTTGGCATGTCTTGATTAACATTGTGTGCTAACTGCTGTCTCTGGGGGCTTGTTCAATGTATCTACATCTGGTATTATTATTATTATTATTATTATTATTATTATTATTATTATTATTATCCTAATCAGCATCATTATTAGTAGGGGTAAAGGCAGAGGAGAGCTTTTCCCAGACTCATGCTATAGGACATTCATAAATTCCATCTGGAGCGCAGGAAAGACCAAATGCTGCAAATCTCTTCTACCAAGAAAGACCAGACCCCAGCCCAGCTTTGACACACAGGGAGCCAGAGGAAGTGTCAGGGTCACACAGGATTTCAGGAAGTCAGGTGGAAGTTGTCCCCTCCTTTCCACAGAACTGCCCTCTGATATCCCTGAGGAGTGTCTCTGCAGCAGAAATGGGATTAGCTCCTTATGTTTCCCATATTCCTGACTCTTGGTTCTGTTTCCAGCCATGCCAGCAATAACCATCAGTGTAATTACCACAGTTTTCCTCAAAAATAAGTGTTACTCTTCCCCTTAGCCCTGTTAGACTCTTGTATTTGTTGTAGCTGTCTGGATTGATTGACTTGGCAAGGATAGTAACAAGAAAATTGAATCACCTTTTTTTGCCTTTTATGATGATCTGGTTAACAGTTTGATGTATTGGAGTCACTTTTGGCTGATTTGAGTAATTGATCCCCTTTGGGGAATGAAAGGTATTAAATCACTGTGTCCCCTTTTGGGAGGATATTTTCCCAGTTAAACAGGTCTTGCTGGTTTCTGCTCTGTAGGCTAGGAAATGAAGATTAAATAATAAATTGGTCATCTCTATGACAACAGAAACATGGCCTTCATGGTGGAGACGTTGTTTCAGAAGGCTTGCCAGGTGGATCGCAGATAAGAAACTTGCTTAAATTATATTTTTGGCTCCAGCAGATAAAATATTATTCTTGGTGCCTTTCCAAAATATCAGCCAGTGCAGGCTATTCCACAACTGGGGCTCTGAGCCTGGGGGAGTCCAAGGGCTTTTTGCTGTGCGGCCAGATCATGTGGCTCACTTGGGTCTAGAGTGCTTAAATTTCCATTTGTATATTTGGGACAGCTGAAAAGGTGAGCTGAGGCAAGGGAGGATGTTCAGGGCAATTATTGTGGTGTTTGGAAGAAATAAAGTGAGAAAAGGCCACAGCAAGGGGAAGTATTTTGGCGAAGATGTATCAGCTGGTCATCCATGGGTGGGGAGGGCAGGTGGGAGGCCACTGTGTGTTCTGGTAAAGAAGCCTAAGCATTTTCCTATATATTACATGTTGCCTGGGACAGCACAGGCAAAAAAAAAAAAAAAAAAATCTAATTCCACAGAGATGATTAAAGGTCAATTATGTGAATTGTCACTCTGTCCAGCAGCAAAGAATTTTTTTCCTGCCAAAGTGCCACAAAAACCTTGTAAACCCACATGATCTGGCTTTTCTACCTTGTGCCTCATCTGTCCCTGGCTAGCACTGCTGCTATTTCTAACTCTCCTTGTTTTCCTCCCCTTAGGTCTCTCATCAGGTGCTTCGAAAAAAACAAAAAAAAAAAGAAAAAAAGGAAAACTCATAAAATAGGAAAATGAGGAAACATCGACATTTGCCCCTCGTGGCAGTGTTTTGCCTCCTGCTCTCAGGCTTTGGCTTGGTTGGTGCTCAGCAGCAAGCAGGTAAGCCCGGGCTGCTTCACCTGACTGTGGCCCTTTACAAGCACTCATTGGCACTGTTTGGTGTTTGACATGCATGTCCATGGGATGTTGTGGATGGATGACCTGCTCCTCAGCTCCCACCTTGCTGAGGGTCCTTGGGAAATGAGCCTTGGCCAACACTCACGGTGCCTCCCCAAGCATGACACCCTCAGTGCCATGGAGGATGCTCTGCAGGGCACCTGGGTGTGGGACCTGCACTCAGGGTGCTCCTGAGAGGGTCTTCTCCTGGGCAGAGCTGTTCTGCCCTCCCTGCATGTGTAGGAGGGCTTTTAGCAGTGACAAGAGCACTGCCACTAACCTGCAGAAAGGCTGTTTAAAGATGTGGTGCTGGCACATTTAGGACTGGAGCTGGTGTTAACAGCAGGAACAGTACAGAAAACTCATGCCAGCACCCAGGCTGCTTAAACCAAGCTGTCCTTCCTTCCTTGAGCACTATCACGGAGCCAGCAAAAGCCATGCAAGAGACACAAGCAGCTAGAAGCTGAATGAGCCTGAACTAACAGGTGAATCTGCTGTCTGTGTCTGGCTCAGGGCTGGTGTCCTGAGGGTGTAGGAGGGCAGGAGCACCCATGGGCGAGGGTGTAGGAGTGCAGGAGCACCTTGGCTCCCCCTCTCTGGGCAGGGCAGGTGGCATGCTGTCCCCCCAGCACCTGCAGGGCCGGGGCTCTTGTGGCTGCCTGATTGTTCTCCAGCGCTTCTCATTTTGCTGTGGGCGATAAGGGGAAGCTGAGCTTCACTTTCACCATGCCAAGGAGGCTGTTGGTTGTTTTGGGTGAGAATGAGGAGGAGGAGGAGGAGGCATGCTTGTGCTGACCGATAGAAAATCCTAAACCCCCATCTGTTTTTTTAAAGCTGTCAAAACCATTGCCGTGGCTGATATAATATTTCTAGTGGATTCCTCCTGGAGCGTTGGGAAGGAACACTTCCAACTCGTTCGAGAGTTCCTATATGATGTTGTAAAAGCTTTAGATGTGGGAGGAAATGATTTTCGCTTTGCCCTGGTCCAGTTCAGTGGAAACCCCCACACAGAGTTCCAATTAAATACCTACCCCTCCACCCAGGACGTCCTGTCCCATATTGCCAACATGACTTACGTGGGGGGAGGCGCCGAGCCTGGAAAAGGATTAGAGTACCTAATCGAGAAGCACCTCACTAAAGCTGCTGGAAGCAGAGCCAGTGAAGGCGTGCCCCAGGTTATTGTAGTGCTGACAGACGGACAGCCCCGGGATGATGTGGCTCTGCCCTCATCTCTCCTTAACTCGGCTCGTGTAAACCTGTTTGCGGTCGGCGTGCAGGACGCAGTGGAAGGGGAGTTGCAGGAAGTAGCGAGCGGACCCCTCGATACGCACCGCTTCAACCTAGAGAATTTTACCACTCTCCACGGCATAGTTGGGGACTTAGTGGCAAGTGTCCACTCCTCCATGACTCCAGAAAAGGCTGGAGCCAAAGGACTGGTTAAAGACATCACAGGTAATGGCTGACTGGTGGTATCTGCTGGCTCTGTGCTGTTTGGCATTGCCACTCTGTAGGGGCAAGACTGAGATGGACGTTCAGAGGTTTAAAAATAAAGGTTTGAAGTGTGTGGCCCCGTGTTTGCAGCTGCCGAGGTGCTGTTTGCATACTGAGCCACGGCTTTCAGGAGTCAGGGCAGGAATCCTTGAATGGGCAGTGGCACCTTGTAGCCATCCTTTGGCACATATGGCATGGAAATTCAAGCGTAGGGAGCCCTGCAGAGTTAGTAAATTGCCTTGTCCTGTTTATTCCCAAGGTGGGGAAAGAGGGGATGAACACACCAGACCTGGCAGTGACCCTGACTGAAAATCCTCTGAAGACTGAGAAGGGCGCTGCTGGTTGCAGGGACACCATGATGAATGTCCCCTTAGAACCAGGCGGGGGGACAGGGAGATGTGCAGTGTGCCACTCCAGAAAGTCACATTCTTGAGCAGTGTGTCATTCCAAAAAGTCACATTCTTGGCTGAAGACAGCAAAAAGAAGGTGGGTGGGGAGTTTTCTCTGCTGGAAGCCCACCCTTGAGCTGTCTCTTAACCTCCCTCCTCGTGCACCTGGAGAAGGTATGTGGTTGAAAAGTCTTCTCTACAAGCCCATGTCTTCCACCTGCTGGAGCACTGGACCCTTCCCATAACTGAAACCTCCCTGCAAATGTTGGCTTCAACAGACCTGCACTGACTGCAACACAGGGCCCAATTTCCCTGAAAGAAAACCCCAAACCAATCTTCCTCCACCCCTTCTCTGTTTATGAAATTCCAGCATGGCAAGAGCCTTCTGAGCAGCTTTGTTGTTTTTCAAAACAGAAGTCCTGGGGATCAAACCTTTCTTTTTATTCCTGAGACTCCATCTGAAGGTCGAGAGCTTGTGGGGCGACGTAAGGCCACAGCAGTGTGATGAGGCAGTGTGACATTAATCCCCCTGTGTTGTCTTGCCTGATTAACCCTCACGCCAGTCCCACTGGGTGCTCTCCATCACTGCATGACACCGAGCAACACCAAAAGGCCGTGCTCACGTGTGTTTTTTGTCGTGCAAAGCGCTTGACAGGGCAAATATCCAGATCACAGGAAAGCCACAGGGGAGTAGCTGCCCCACAAATACAACAAAAGGCTTGCCAAAGCTAAGGAAATGACACCAATATATGTGGAAAATGAACATTATGCTGCTGACAGCACTCTGGTGGCTGTTGGACATCTTAGCCCTGAAGAACCCCAGTGCTTCCCTGTTGAAATCAATTGGGAAAGCTGGTTGTCCTCTGGGCCATGCCAGCAGGTAACCCTATTGAATGGAAACATCTGGAATTACAGACTCTCCTTTAAATCTTTAAAGCTTTAAAGCCAAATTCCTACTTTGTGTGTATCGTGCATTTCCAAGTTTGTTTCTGCTTAAAGGTATTTTTTGCAAGCATTTCCTTCCCATCCTATAACACGAATTTAAGTTAATCCTACTGTTGTAGTGTTGTCCCTGTGTGACTTGCATGGGTGATATACAGCATATTGTTAAACATGGGAAAAAGTGTTACAGGTCCTAAACCTTGGGCGATAACAGTGTGCAAAACATGGTACAAATAAGAGTTTAAGAAGTAATTTATTCAGCTGATTACTACATGTGGCATTAAAATGTCAAAAATTGCCATTGATGCTATGTTAGAAATGAGCCCTAATACGAAATGGAAGTGTAAAAAAGCCCCAGTCCTGTAGTGGTTCTAGTAAGGAGAACCAAAACTGTTGGTCTGTGGCAGTCCCTGGGGCTGACTCATGTAAGTATAACAGTCAGCCCCAAGTTTGCCCTGAAATTTTTATTAAATCTGAGCTGTCTGTCTCATCTGACCCTCCTTGCTTAGTTGTGTAACCAGCATGCTTTTATTTGTTCTCCACACCAGCTTGTTCCTTAAATGTGCACTGAAGTAAAAGGTTTTTTTACAGTGATGACAAATTATCCAACACATCTGTTTCATATCTATTTTCTCTTCTGTGGGAGCAACCCATTAGTGCCTGGAATCTTGTTCCTCCAACAAGATATCCAGGATATCTAAAGCATCCCTGGGTGAAACCACTGTGAGGTTTCCCTTTCATTTTTACGATAAAGTAAAATATGTACATCCCAACTGAAAATGGCTCAGTCCAAAACCAAGCCTAAGCACCTCTAAATTTTGCTTTGACAGAAAAATAAATCCTGGAGCTCCTTGAAATTCTGAACCCTGGTTACTTCCTCTGAGCCAACACTGGCCATTAAGTTGGTACAGGGGAGCAATGGTGATTTGGAGACCTCCTTTGTCGCTGGAATTGCAGCATTATTTGAATCTCCCAGTTTATGAAAACATGTACTAGAAAAACAATTAAATCAACAATAAATAAATAATTTACTGGCAGTGCTGGTTAATAGCAAAGATCTCGGATTTATTCCTGGCCTTGCTAAACCACATGCCAGCTTTGCTGCTGGTTTCACCTTTGGCTTTCAAAAGTTGAGAGCTGACAGAGGGATTTCCAAATGTTGCTTATTGGTCATTTGCAAATAATCTGAAATTTGAGTTCTTGACGTGAGTGGAGAGTAACAGCATGGAAACATCTGAGCATATTTTGGGGTTTTCTCCCCCCATCTTTTTTGCATGCATACAGCTCTTGGTGATGTCGATGGTAAAATTAGTTGAGCAAAAGGAGTGAGAGCAGACACCAGGGAATTTTGGGTCTGCTTTGGTAAGTCTCACAGCAAAAATACTCCCTCTCAACATCACATTCATGCCATGTACAAGCTTTGTTTGGTGTGCATATATTCTCAGCAAATGCTTGTGATCATCTGGGTATGGTCACAACAACTAGAGTTGGATAATTGTGTCATGACTGATTTCATCACCCTTTTTTAACCTGATTCTGCATTCCTTGATTGAATATCCAGAATCCATATGAAAAGTACAGACCAGACCCCTCTGGAAGTAATCAACCCATCTTTTTGCAAAATATTTGAAGTGACACAATTTTTGTGTGGCCTGGGTTGAGAATTGTGTGGGTCAGCCTGCTAGAGACATAACTTAGGTGGATGCTGGCAGCTGGTCAAAGAGTTACCATCAAACAAAAATAGCCAAAACCTTTTCAATTGTTTCTTACAAGTGTGTTTTAAATAATACTTATTCATGGTGGGGGAAGCCCATATATTCAGCCTCTGTGTTTAACCAACAAAAGGGCAGAATTGTGACAGAGAAGCTGAAACTTTCCCTGCATCCAGTTAATGTTGGCTTTTTTCCTCCTAAAAAATAGAATGGTAAAAACCTCCTCACCCTCTACCTTCACCGTGAATTACCACCAAAGTCCACCTTTTTCTTTTGGCTCTGTCTGAATGTTTGGACAGTACTGGCCAGTGATGGAATGTACTAGATTTCCAAAAACTGTACTTTGCTAAGTTTCTCCTTGCATGCCAATAATGCTGACCCCATGTTACTACAGCCACTGGCTCATGTTGTATCCACTCAAGCCCTCCCTTGATGGGTTGTGGATGCTACTGGGAAGGGCCTGAGAGCTCATATTCAATCAGAATGCAGAACTAAGAGGCAAAATCACCTCCTCAGTGATCACGTTGTTTTGTTTTCTCATTTTCGTGTTTCTCACTGGTTTTCCAAGAAACATGTCAGAACACTGTTACAACTGCATGTAATCACCCATTTTAATGCTTTCACCTTTTGCATTTCTTTTTTTTAAAGCTCAAGAGTCCGCTGACCTAATTTTCCTTATTGACGGATCAAACAACATCGGAAGTGTCAATTTTCCAGCCATACGTGATTTCCTTGTAAATTTGATTGAAATCCTCAGAGTTGGAGCTCAGCAGATACACATTGGGGTGGTGCAGTATAGTGATCAACCCAGAACCGAGTTCGCTTTGAACAGCTACTCCACAAAAGCGGATGTCCTGGATGCCGTGAAGGCACTCAGATTCCGCGGGGGCGAGGAAGCGAACACCGGTGCGGCACTGGAGTTTGTGGTGGAGAACCTCTTCACCCAGGCGGGAGGCAGCAGGATAGAGGAAGCGGTGCCGCAGATTTTAGTGCTGATAAGTGGTGGAGAGTCTAGTGATGATATCCGAGAGGGCTTGTTAGCGGTGAAGCAAGCTGGTATATTTTCATTTAGCATTGGGGTCCTGAATGCTGACAGTGCAGAGCTGCAGCAGATTGCTACTGATGGAAGCTTCGCCTATACTGCCCTGGATATCCGTAACCTTGATGCTCTTCAAGAATTATTACTGCCCAACATTGTTGGAGTGGCCCAAAGACTCATTTTGTTAGCGGCCCCAACCATTGTGACTGAAGGTATGTATGCCTTTCTAGACCCTTGCATTTCAGTGAATCGATGAATGATTGAACTTTTGCACACTTTATGAGCATATTTAAAGCTTTAAGTATTTATTTTAATTTTTAACTTTTTGATTTTTTTTAATTAATTTTTTTTTCAATTAATCTCTCTGGTCTCGTTATGGAGAAGTGATGTTTCTGTGCAGAAACTCATTGGCCCAGTAGGTTATCTCTCAAAAACTATGAGGTCTTGTTGCAATAACTGGCATGACATGTGGGGTGTTCTAAAAGACAGGAGCAGAATTAAAAAAAAAAAAAGAGTATAATAAAAAAAACTCATATAATCCTTATCGAGTATCTAAGCACCCTGGGAGTAAACACTGCAGCACTGCCAGTTGTAAAAATATTTATGCCATGTAAGCTTACATTATATGTCAGTTGGAAGTGTCGTGACCATAAAATGTGGCTGAGGAAGGTAACAGGAATGCTAAATGGATCCCTATGCACCAGAGTTGAAATTATCTGCTTGCTAAAACAGTAAAATTCCACAACTCACCGAAGCTCTGGGCTGCCCTTGGTAAAAGGGTGACATTCCTGTGTTGTTGAACTTAAAAACTGAACAGCCCTTAGCTCTTCTGAAGTGAAATCCCTACTTTTGATGTATCAGCTGAGAAAGATTGCAGCTTTCCACAAGGCCACTGGAATTAAAAATGCAGGTGTGTTAATATTCCACTTTGGTTACTTTGTCACCCATATAAGTCCCACTGACATTATTTCTGGGCTAACATCAGCTCAGGCATGGTCGGAAAATGAATATCTGGATTTATGGGGCAAATAGGGGATTTACAAAAGACACAATATGACATATTGCAGAGGCCAATGGAAGGGACCAACCTGGAGCTGCTGCACTTAGTTAAAAGGATGCTTAATGCAAACAGCACTTTTGGGATCCTGTTGTCAGTCTGGAGTTCTGTACATCCTGTTCCTCATGGCGTATGTTGAAATATAAAACTGCATTCCAGATGTCTTTGCTGATCCATGCCTAAACATGATTGCTATCCTGTGGCTCAAATCAAAGGGAGGAATTTGCCTTAAAGATCATTTTATGACCTTGCCTTGATTATTCCAGGAAAGAACATGGAAAACTTTTTCTTGTAGCACCCTACAAGAACCGTATTTAGCCAAATAATATGAAGTCAGCATGTGTAGCTAAAATGTGTATGCTGGGATCCGTGCAACTCAGTGGAAAATCTCTATTTCCTCCTGTCTGTTTTTTAACAGTTTGAATGGCAAGCTTAAAATATTTTGGTACATTTTGTTTCATCTGCACTTGCATATTTCTCAGCTTGTTTGTGGAAGGTGCTACGTCAGCCTGTACAGTTACATACAGATGCATGGGTTAAATGGAGAAGTGGATTATTTTCAAAGGATCTTTAGGGAATTTCCTTCCCCTGGAACCCATGGAAATCAATTTTGACCGGTTTGCTTGATTGACATCAACAACTTGGAAGGCTGCAGTGTAAAGCAGTTTGGGAGATGCTGCAGCCCAAAAGGGATGCCAAACCCTCTGTGGTGCCAAGTGCTCCTGTGAAATGCTGAAGTCATCTCGCTTCACTTTAGCTTGCCAGCTGTTCATCCTGGGCTGAAGGGGAACTCCAAAGTGGCTTTCTGCTCCTTCACCCACTGGGGGAGCCTGGATGATGAAGTTAGCTGAGGTGCTTCACCAGACAGCTGACATGGCAAAGAGGATGGAACTGTGCAGGGCTGGGTTCAGCGCTGACACCCTCCAACATTCCCAACTTTGAGAGTTAAAGATATAACGCTTTGACCCCAAATCCTTTGAAGTTCTTGGGAGAATTGCCATCACCTTTAGAGGGCTTTGAATTAAACCCTATGAGATGTGCACAGCCTAGCTTAAAGGCTTTTGCATTAATTGTTGTCCATGCAAACCATAATCGTGGGTTGTTTCTTCCTGTGTGTTTTGGGTTTGGTTCTTGCATTCCTCTGACAAAAAATACTGCAGGATTTGAGAGCTGCAAAAGGAATGAGAAGTGGAGGGAACTCTTCCTTCCCAGCCTCTCTTATCTTTCCAAAGCCCCTTTGATGTTTTCCCCAAAAGTCAAAAGTTTCCAGGCTCTCCACTTTTGGGTTTCTAGCTGGTGACAAGCTGAGGATGTGCTTTGGACATTTCTCCTGGGTCATACAAAGCAGCAATGTCAGCCCTTGCTATCCATTTGGAAAGTTTCCTGTTTTCAGCCCTCTCCTCCTTGGAGTAACAGAGGAGGACAAAAAGCCTGGCTGGAGGGATGAATGCTGGAAATCATGGCTCTGGGAAAGGAATAATTTACACAAACCCTCGCTGCTTTTTGCGTAGCTCTGTTCTGACAGCATGGGCAGCCAATTGCAGACCACTGTCAGCTCACTTGAGGGTGTGGCTTGAGGAAGGCACCACCATGTTTGCTTTGTGCATGTCCTCATCATTTTATGCCTGACAGCACCATGGCAGGCAATTTTAACCTTCCATTTTTTTTACGTTTGGTCCTTAGTGACACTATTTCTAGCACGACTCCATTAGAGGCATTTGCAAAGGTTCTGCAAGGCAAGCAGGTCTTTCAGGATCTTTTGTCAGAGCTGAATCACAAATGTCATCCCCAGCTCCAAGTGACCCCTTGGGGCAGCCCAGTCTCATGGCACTCACCCATAGTGAGAAACCTGACGGCACCCAGCCTTTGGGAGCACCGCTATCCATGGCCAGCTGGTGTCTGGCCAAGGAGGACTGCAGCCAGAGTTTTGTTCTTTGTTGAAATCCAAAGTAAACAGCCTCCATGTAGAGGAGCCCTGATGGGATGGGGGCTGCTCTTCTCCATCCAGGCAGGGAAAGGCAGCATTTGCTACCACTTGCCCTGGGGAATATGAGATCCCCGTGGGAGCAGGCTGTGCACTGGGTATGGCAGTGAGCCTGGGAGGTGATGGACCTGCCTCCTTGAATCCTGAACCCATCTCTGGAGCTCTTAGGTGGGTGGGTGATTTAAGGATACCCCAAGTCCAACGTAACACAATGATTCATAGTGCTCCAGCATAACTTGGAAGCAGCACAAAGTTTCCTTTCTCACGTCAATGGCATGAAATCAGGGAGGTGATGATGTGAGAGGATTTCTCTAAAATATGGTATTAAGGTTAGGCATCATGATAATCATGTATAATGCTGTTATCACAATCATATTGGTCTTGTTAATATCCACCTTTTAAAAAAATGCATTTGCTGTATTAAATATCATGATGATGGAACCATCATGCTTTGGTTCCAATGCCACAAAACAGGGTTTTTTTCCTCCCTGACTATCTTGCTTCAAACTTAGCCAGGGCACTGTAAAGCTAATTGTGCTCTTTCCATGTCCTGTGCCATCATCGATACCAAAGTTTCAGAAGTTACAAGCCAGGGAACCTGTCTGTTAAAGACATGGCCACCAGAACATAATCCAGCTCATCCATGAATGGGCCAGCTGTGCTGAGAAAAACCATAACTTGTTTTTGTTACATAAGGAATAAGATTTAGGATGCAAAGACCCAAAATCCAGGTATGTTGAGTAGGTAGAGACTGTTCTTTCCTTGTGTCATTGCTCTCAGGAACCTAATACTTCTCATACCAAACCACCACCATTCAGGTGGTTACTCTGCAGATGGAAGGAGCATCACCTGCTTATTTTATCTCATGTGCCCTCAGTGCCAAGATTTCTCCTTACTGCCTTTCATTCTTGCTTTGACATGTCCATGTATTTTAATATCCAAGTGTGTAAAAAGTCACAGTTTTTGCAACTCTTCAACTCTTTGGTGTTTTAGAAAGGGGAAACAGTCAGATTTTCTATTAGTCCTCTGCTAGAGCCTAATATAATAATTCTGTTTGGAAAGCAAGACCTTTTTAAAGGTGTTTAGAGTAACAGTACTCCAAGCAAACAAGAAATCCTGAACATTGCTGAGCTATTGGCACAGAATTGATGCAGAGTGTTTTGAAGGCTAACATGATGTTCATGTGTTACTTGCAGTTATTGAAGTGAACAAGAAGGATATAGTCTTCCTGATAGATGGCTCAACTGCTTTGGGGGCTGCCCCCTTTAATGCAATTCGTGATTTCGTTGCCAAAATTGTCCAAAGGCTGGAGGTTGGACCCGACCTGATCCAAGTGGCGGTGGCACAGTATGCGGACACTGTGAAGCCAGAATTTTATTTTAACACCCACCAGACCAGGAAGGATGTGATGGCTAATGTGAGGAAGATGAAGCTCATGGGTGGCACGACACTCAACACTGGCTCAGCACTGGACTTTGTGAGGGACAACTTCTTTACCAGTGCTGCCGGGTGCAGGATGGAGGAAGGTGTGCTCCCCATGCTGGTGCTCATCACTGGGGGTAAGTCCAGGGATGCTGTTGGCCAAGCTGCAGCAGAGATGAAGAGGAACAGGATAGTGACCCTTGCCGTTGGGTCAAGAAACGCTGACCTGGCAGAGCTTCAAGAAATTGCTCATGAACGAGATTTTGTGTTTAACCCGAACGACTTCCGCCTTCAGTTCATGCAAGCCATTCTTCCTGAAGTGCTGTCACCTATCCGGACACTCTCTGGAGGACTGATTGTCCCAGAGCCACCCTCAGGTAATTAGAGGCCTTTTTCTAATTCAGGAAGTGTGGTTTATAAGTTTGCCAATTCTTATTCTATGACATGTAAAGATAATGGGGAAAACCATACCAAATGCATGTTCCAGCATGGTTAAATGTGAGTGCATGAACAGGTCAGTGAACTTGGTAGTGTGCTTGTTGTTACAGATTTATGGTTCCTTCCTGGAGATTTTTGTCCCATTCTGATTTTGCCACCAACGTTTAAAGGGCTGGATGTTAAAGATGTGCTTTACTAGTTAGGTACCCAAATTGTTCAGTGGAGGATTTATTTTGCTCTTCTTAGGGTGCGTGTAGCCTATGAATGGGACACCTGTGATTGTTAAAGTCTCTTCCTCAGTCTGGGAATCATCCATAGTGGGTGTTTGTTCAGGAGAGTAGAGGTTTCTTTGGAGTGTAAAGAACATAAGCCAGTTTGTTTGTGGAGATGTTCAGAGCTGACATTGTTGGATGGAAACTCACCCTTTAACAACATACTTCATTTTCTTAGGATTTGCTCAGCTCGAACCCTAAGAGGTATGCAAGGATATTTCAGTATTTTCATTTAATCTGTTTGGAAGATTATCCAAAGCTCTATGAAGCCAGTGGAGTCTTTTTAGTTGTCCTTGCCATTGACATAAGTAGACTTTGGAAGAAACCAACTGATAGGGTCATGGCTTTTGAGGAAGTTCTAGGTGCATAGAAATTTTTCAAGAAAGTTCTAGGTGCATAGAAATTTTATACCAAATTTCTCAGGATTTCTTCACAATAGAGATGCTTGAGATGAAATCCATGTTGCACTAGATCGTATTTGAACCTTTCTGTCTCATGGAATATGAACATTAGAAAATCAGGATTTCTTCCAGCTCCCAGTAAGATCAATAGTGAGGCTCCCACTGGCTTAAGTAGCTGTTGAATTGTGTTCATATTTTTTCTAGTTTCTCACGTAATTTACAATTATAAACCACAATGGAAAAGAAACAGAATGTTTGGAAAGAATCCTGAAAGAATTAAGGCATGTTTCTGATTTACATGAAAAGAAGGCATTTTGAAATCAGTTTGCCAATACTTGTCCTTAATGAAGATAAATATCACAGGACTTATCATTTAATAAGCTTTGTTTCAGAGTGTGTTTCCAGCTAATACAGTTTTGCATGGCTATACACCAAAGCTGATGTTCTTATTTTTCAATGTAAATTAAAAATGTTCCTGTGTTTTCTCATTCTTTAAAGATCATTTATGCAGCTTCTCTATTTTTCCAGTCCTTTTTTTGTGCTCACAGCTATTCACACACACAATAAGTAAGGGACCATATTCTGCCCCTGTAAATTATTATTGATAGCAACAAAACTGATTTTGACACTGGGCAGTTGCATTTTAACCGGCTATTGTCTTACCCTGGGCCTTCAGTGGCACTTTTCTGGGAAAAATTTAAAATACAAAACGCCAAGACAATCTGTAAAGTCTGAGAGCAGTCTTTGTATTCCGAAGAGCCCTTTATTTCCTTTTCGTTCTGAATAGCTCAGTATTTGTATATTTTATATACAGGACAGCAAGCTTACAGGGACAAGGCAAGCTAGAAAATTGATTAATCTAGCCAGAAATTATTTAAACAGAAATATAATGGGCAGAATTAGCAGTGGGCATAAATATATCCTTGAATAACTCATTTGGAGGAAGGCATCTAGGGGGATGTCTTGGATATCATCAGTTCTCTGAGATTCTGTTTAAAAGCCTGGCATTTTGATGTGTGATCTGGACATGTTTAGAGCAAAAAAAGAGCACAGGGTGATGGTTCTGTGGTGTCTTGGGGTGTACACCTATGTCCTGGATCTTGGAGATAGCCCAGGAAGGATTTAACCTTAAAAAAGGAAGTAAGAGCTGCCAAAAGTGGGAAACTTCTCCCCCTTCGACAGCCCACAAAATGGATGTCTATAACAAAAGACAGTAAAGTACAGAGCAGTATCCTCAGGTAGCTGTTGAGCCTGACATTTAAAAGAGTTGCTAATCCTTCCCTGCCCAATTCAGTCATTTCCAGCAAGGTCCTTGTTACTTCTGTGCTGATCACACCCTTGCTCCTCTCTCTCTCTCCCCAACTAACATGATTCACATGTGTGTACAGCATATGCTGCATGCACACATGATAAAAAAAGTTTCCATTTTTTGTTTTCTGTGATGTCTCATGTTGTTTTCTGTGCTCTACTGCAGTTCAAGTAACCAAAAGGGATATCATCTTTCTTTTGGATGGATCACTCAACGTCGGAAATGCCAACTTCCCCTTTGTGCGGGACTTTGTTGCCACCCTAGTTAACTACCTTGATGTCGGCAGTGACAAAATGCGAGTTGGCTTAGTGCAATTTAGCGACACTCCCAAAACTGAGTTCTCCCTGTACTCCTACCAAACCAAATCTGACATAATCCAGCGCTTGGGGCAGCTGAGGCCCAAGGGGGGGTCGGTGCTGAACACTGGCTCCGCACTGAACTTTGTGCTCTCAAATCACTTCACGGAGGCTGGTGGGAGCAGAATAAATGAACAAGTGCCCCAGGTCCTAGTCCTGGTGACGGCAGGGAGCTCTGCCGATCCCTTCCTCCAAGTTTCCAATGAATTAGCTCGGGCTGGAGTGCTGACCTTTGCTGTTGGCATTAGGAATGCGGATAAGGCAGAACTTGAAAAGATTGCCTTTAATCCAAGAATGGTGTATTTTATGGATGATTTCAGTGCTCTGGCAGCTTTACCACAGGAGTTAAATAAGCCTATAACAACATATGTTAGTGGAGGTGTGGAAGAGGTTCCACTCGCCCCAACAGGTAATACCTACCTTCCTGCATGTTGACTGCATGAAGTTAATCTTTTTTAAGTAAATTTCTTGTTTCCACTGTATGCCTTGACACATGTCCAAGCCCTGAGTCATCTAAGTGGTTATGGCTGTGCTTAACTTGATGATCTTTAAGGTCCCTTCCAAACCAAACCATTCTATGATTCTATGAATACATGGCTTGACACTGTATGAATTTTGTTCAAGTCATTGCTACCACACCTTAAAAGCAAAGTTTTAAGTCTTTTGGTAGGTCAGGACCACAGGAGGATCTGAGTGAGTCTGTGCCCACCACTCACTGACTCTGGTGTTCCCTTGCTGTTCCCATAATAGGGCCACAACCTGTAACTGCATCTTGTGCAGTAAATCAGGCAATGGGAGTATGAGATTTTGACCACAAGAAGTGGCGTGGAAAGATTAAAGTCATGCCAAAGAGCACACAGAAGCAGAGGTCTAGCCAGGAACAGGTGGTCAAATCCATCCCCAGAACCTCTTGGTCAAAGTGGTGTCATCAGGCTGTCACAGAGGCTGGATTTGACTCCAGAAATTCAGTTATCCTACAATATTAAACCCAAAGACTTTTGGCAAGTTTAACCGTCTTTAAACAGGTATTTTCTCATTAATTATATTATTGTGGCTATGTGCCCAGGAAGACATAGGAACAACTGGGATGAGTTAGTCATTGAAAGGATACGATTTAAGATTAATATGAAGGTACAGGAGGCTTGGGTTTGCCTTGGGTATTCAATGAGATTGAAAGGGCATCAAATTGAAACAGGTGAAAGGCTTTATGGATTTAGATGCTCTTCGTGATGCAAGTGGGAGAAGATCCAGAAAATGCTTTGTGTACATGTGCATGAACTGTCTGTTTGTTGTCTACTGAGCCTTTAAATAGGAAAAAAAACCCAACCAACCCTCACTTCTGCTTTATTCCTTGTCTGTATTGTCAACATATTGCTAGACCTAAAACATGACTGAACCAGCCAATTAATGATGTGATCTGGTGTGATACAGTATGTGATATTTTCATCTGGTGCACAAATTTATTGAGTCTTAGGATAGACATGTCCTTGCTTCCCCTTCTTCCTCAGATGCTGTATAGTTCTGAAGACTTTGAATACTTTGGTAAATGAGAATATTGAAGGATTGAAACCCAGCTAACTTGCAGACAATTTTCTAGGATGACATACGAGAAGAAAAATGCTTTACTTTCTTTTTTCCTCCCCTCTTTTCATTTGTGAATTTATTCTAGAAAGCAAGAAAGATGTTTTATTCCTGATTGATGGCTCAGCCAACCTCTTGGGCAGCTTTCCTGCCGTCCGGGATTTTGTACACAAAGTCATTTCTGACCTGAACGTGGGTTCCGATGCCACACGAGTCGCTGTAGCTCAGTTCAGCGACACCATCCAAGTGGAATTTGACTTTAATGAATACTCATCCAAGCAAGATATGCTTGTCAAAGTGAAAAGGATGAAGATTAAAACTGGGAAGCAGCTGAACATTGGAGCTGCACTTGATGAGGCTATAAGAAGACTGTTTGTGAAGGAAGCTGGAAGCAGGATTGAAGAAGGGGTTCCTCAGTTTTTGGTCCTCCTTGTTGCTGGGAGATCAACTGATGATGTGGAGGAGCCATCAGATGTTCTGAAGCACGCTGGAGTTGTAACCTTTGGTATCAAAGCCAGAAATGCTGACCCCGTAGAGCTGGAAAGGATTGTTTACGCCCCGCAATTCCTTCTGAACGTCGAATCCCTCCAACGGATTTCAGAGCTTCAGCCACACATAGTCAACCTGTTGAGAACAGTCCAGCTTCAACCAGCAGGTACAGGGAGCCTCGGGGTTTCCAAGAGGCTGAAAGACATGACTTACATGCCCCACTCAATTGGTAACTGGAGCATCTGGGTCTGCTGATGTTTAAAACAATTGTGTAGAAACTGCTGTTGTACTTGGAGTTTCCTCTGCTCACACTCTCATCTGGCTAAGCATTAAGTGCCAAACCAAATTCTGATGATAAATGAGGAAAATGCCTTTGTTCAGCAGCAAGAGCTGCAGCTGGTGCTGTTTCCAGTGTGTAAAATATGGGACAAACCTGAAATAACAGGACATTGTTGCCCCAGAGATGTTGCATTAATTGATGTGCAATGCTGGGCATGGGCTAAAAGAAGCAAATACTGGCTTGTCTCAAGTTCTATTTCCATCTTCCCTCTTCTGGAGGAGTGGATTCCAGCACACTGGATTCACTCTTGCTCTGTTATCTCTTCCAGGATATGATGGCAGTTTCTCCATGTTCTACATACGCACCAATAAATCAGATGCTCTTGTCTCAGTTACCATTCAAGCACAGTAGATGAAATGGATTAATTGAAGAATAATTTTTAAAAGGTCTTTAAAAGAATTACGTGGCCACAGGAACAAATTTACACCACAGCACTGGAAATTATGCATGTCCAGATGTGTGATTTCCTGAGGCAGCCCTAATTGGAGCATTGGCTTGTCTCCGAAAAGGAGGTGGAAACAAGGAAAAGTAAGATCCATCTGTTCTCTCCATAAAGGGATAGATGGACTTAGAACCATAGAAACATGAAATAGGGCTGGAAGGAATCTTAGGGTGCCATCTGCTACACACCCTTGTCCCCTGCAGGATCTTTTTGCCCAGAACTAGATGACATTGATCTATTCTGTTCTGGAAACCTTGTGGGAGACTTCCCAGATTCCATAGCCAATTGGTGCAGTTGCTTTTATCAGACAACACCTTCCTTTCATGTCACTCTTCTGTCTCCCTAGTCATAGTTTAAGTGTTCTGCATTTCCTTCAGTCTGAGCAGGACACAGATGTCAGCTTGCTCCCAAATTTTCATCTTTTATCTACTTTAGATAGATGAAAATATTTTAGATTTTTCTGCAGCCCTTTTGTCTACTTTAGGCTTGACACGTAGGTCTTGTCTCAATCCTCGTGTCACCAGCTGTGTACCCAGCTCATTCAATCCTTCCTTGTAGGTCTTGTAGGTTTTCTTCTACCTTTTCACCCTTGCCTCCCCAGCATCAGCCTGCTCCAAATGAGCACAACGACATCCCCGGTCATCTCTTACCCTATCTTTCCATGCAGATTCATGACTCTTGCCATATTTGTGCAGTTTCTGTCTCAACGAAGATTTGTGCAAGCAGTGCTCTTGAATTCTATCCTCCCTTTTAAAACCATTTCTGTCTTGTCCAGACCATTTGGAATTCCTTTGATCACCAAGGACTATTAATAATTGTGCTATTTGCACAGGAACAGCAGCATCCACCCAGTTTCCCTAGTATTCTTGGCTAAAAGACATCCATTCTATAGGAGCAACCATATTTTTTTCTTCTTTGTCTGCTACACAGGGATTTTTAATAGGACTTTTCCATTGTTCCTGAACTTTAGAGGAAGTATATGAAATTGGGATACACCAGGCAATGTCTGCTCCCTCTTCCCACCTATATCAATATTCCTCTCCTATGCATTAACCCACCAGGTTTCCAACAATCCTCTTAAGAAATCATTTTGATCTGAAATCTGGATTAAGAATTCAACTGCCCTCTTTATACAGCTAAGCATTCTTAAGTAGATAATTAATATTTTCTTCAGAGGGGCAGATCATGCTCTTGCTTGTCCCACTCAACCTTGCTCTAACCAAGCCACAGTAGTGTTTGGGATGTCATCCAGCAGTTGCTGTGTTTGAGAGCCAGTGATGTTTTCTGCTTGGCCCAGCCAAAGCTTTGCAATTCTGTTGGTCAATAGCATAACAGGTCAAAGTTCTCTGATTTTTGACACTTCATGTTCTTGATTTTGAGATTTGTTTGTTTGTTTCTTTGTGGTTTTTGTCTGACTTTTTTTGGGGGAAGAATAGTTTGATCACAATGTTTTTTTCTTCCTGAAGATAGTAAAGAAAAAAAACAACGACCAGTATCTAGAATTTTAGAAGAGCATTTCAGCATTTTTAGCTGGATGTCCTCTACAGCAATTTCTTAATTTATTTTCAGAAGTATTTATTTCTAAGTTCAGTAATGCACCAGAAAAGCTTTTCTCTCCCTCTCTTCACCATCTCCCTGTGAGCACTCCCTGTATGCCATTTCATCCAGAAACTCATTGTTTCTTGGGAACAAAAGATCCCAGGCTCCTGTTGCACACTGCAAAGCCACATGCCACCTTCCCATGCCCCTTGGGAGCTGTTGGCTTCTCCCATCCTCAGGTAGCAGATGGCACCCAGAAGTCCCTTGGCACCCTATTTCCTATGGGTCTATGATTCTATGACTTGGTGGGTGCACTGCATTCCATTTTCCACCAGCTTCCACCCATCTGCCCCCTCAGAAGGGATTGTGTCCAGTGGCAAAGGAACTGAACCACTTTTCTTGACACCTTGCCTTCCCCTCCCTGAGCTTTGTTTTCCTTCAGTTCAAGTTCAATGTATGAGGAGAATATTAACCACTGCAAAAGAGAATCTCACTTTCCCTCCCCCCACTTCCCTTACTTGTCTCAAACAATAGTTGAGAAAGGTGAGAAGAAGGATGTGGTGTTTCTGATCGATGGCTCGGATGGTGTCAGAAGAGGTTTCCCTCTCCTGAAGACGTTTGTCCAAAGAGTTGTCGAGAGCCTGGACATTGGCCGCGACAAGGTGCGCGTGGCTGTCGCACAGTACAGCAACACCATACAGCCCGAGTTCTTGCTGGACACCCACGAGGACAAAGCAGATCTCGTCAGCGCCATCCAGCAGCTGAAGCTCATGGGAGGGTCTCCTCTGAACACGGGGGCAGCCCTCGACTATCTCATCAAGAACGTGTTCACGGTGTCAAGCGGCAGCAGGATAGCGGAGGGCGTCCCGCAGTTCCTGATCCTGCTGACTGCTGACCGATCCCAGGATGATGTCAGGAGGCCCTCAGTGGTCCTGAAAACGAGTGGCACAGTACCCTTTGGCATTGGGATTGGAAACGCTGACCTCACAGAGCTGCAGACCATTTCCTTCCTCCCAGATTTTGCTATCTCTGTGCCTGACTTCAGCCAGCTGGACTCAGTGCAGCAGGTCGTCTCCAACAGAGTCATCCGGCTGACCAAGCAAGAGATAGAATCACTTGCCCCTGACCTGGTTTTTACATCACCCAGCCCAGGTGAGAAGATGTTTGTGTCTGCATTGAGAGCCAGTGGCAAAATATGATGTTTAGTAACATCATGGCTGCAACACAAACTGAGAAAAGCAAAGATGGTCATGGCTAAGATTCCAAGTTTGTCATGGTCCCCCTGTTGGTGCACTCAGGGTTGGCAGGAGCTGTGCAATTAAACTGAGCCACCTTTAAGCCCAGTCCCTCGAGGTGGTCCATCCTGTATGCCCACATGGAAGACGCACAAAGTGAATGCTATTGCCTTAATCTTATTTTAAGTGGATGGATTTTAAGTCCATGCTGTTCCTTCTGGAATGGAAATTGTGTCATTTAGATGCTACAGGGACACCTTCACACTACTATAAATCAAGGTCAGCTTTTTGCTAAATAAGACATGCTGATTTTTCCTACTTTTGCCTCCCTCATTCACTGAGGAAAGGGAAATTGGAAGCGGGCATCAGGAGAAGGATCAGATCTTACATTTCTGGTCCCTCTTGGAATGAAATCCAGCCAGCATATGCCTGGGATGAAGAGTATCCAGCCCATATCAGCTCCTTAGAAATTCATCGTCCTACTCTGTTCATTCCCTTCTCAGCTAGACTGCTTTCCTCCATCTCCATTTATCAGTGTGATATTCTGCGATAATTCAGGCTCTGAATTATCTGAATTACCACTGCAGAAAACACTTTATTAGGAATTAAAAAATCATCCTTGGAAAGACAGAAGGTGAGAGAATAATAGGATAGAATCTTTCCTAGAGGGTAAAGCCAAAGAAAGAGGGGTGGTTCTGAATGTAAAGCAACCTGCCCTGAGTAAGAACTACCACCAAGCTACATTTTCTCAGGTGGAGATCTCACAATGAATTGCTGTTCCAGTTGTCCCGTTGGTCCCTCTTGCTTCCTTTGCTCTAGAATTTGCTGGTTTTGCACCCTCTGGGATGTACCTAGCAGACTGGTTGTGTCTCTGGGTTGAACCCAGAGCTTCCTGCTGGGGCTTCCAGGAGTTATCCCAGGCAGGGAGACAAGGAGTACTGTCCCCATGGCCAGAGGCATGGGTCAGTGGTGTAGATGATGAGCTTAGTTGCTCTCCATAAGCAATTCCTGGTGCTTCTTCTGACCAATGCCTTCTCTCCTGCAGCGGGTGTGAAGAGGGACGTCGTGTTCCTGGTTGACGGCTCCCGCTACGCCGCCCAGGAGTTCTACCTCGTCCGCGACCTCATCGGGAGGATCGTGAACAACCTGGACGTGGGCATCGACACCACCAGGATTTCGGTGGTCCAGTTCAGCGATCATCCCCACGTGGAGTTCCTGCTCAACACCCACTCCACCAAGGATGAGGTGCAGAACGCCGTGAGGCAGCTGCGGTCCAAAGGTGGCCAGCAGGTGAATGTGGGGGAGGCCCTGGAGTTTGTGGCCAAGACCATCTTCACCCGACCCTCCGGGAGCCGCATAGAGGAGGGCGTCCCGCAGTTCTTGATCATCCTCTCCTCCCGCAAGTCCGATGATGACTTTGAGTATCCATCCCTCCAAGTCAAGCAAGTGGGGGTGGCACCTATGATGATAGCAAAGAACGTGGATACTGAAGAGATGATACAGATTTCCCTTAGTCCTGAATACATATTCCAAGTTTCCAGCTTCCAGGAACTGCCCAGCCTCGAGCAGAAGCTGCTGACTCCAATTGAAACCCTGACTGTGGACCAAATCAGGCGGCTGCTGGGAGATGTGCAACCCCCTGTAGGTAAGGCACTGGCTCTCTCTGGGCTGCTACTCAAACAAATGTTGCCCAAAAGACCTTCTCTTTAAGTCAAGATTTTCGTTAGTTAAAAACAAAGTCATAGCACATATACAATTTTAGAAGGAAAGCTTTAGACAGATGGCAATTCTACCCAAGTACCTAAATACATTATAACCTATGATTTTCAAGTCAAGTACCTAAACATGGCACCTATTTGGGTCAATTTCAATTCAAATACACAATGTATACAATTGCCTAGTCCTACTGAGGAGCCCTCTAGGAAACAGGCATACATCTGGGGCAAAATAAAGCTGGAAACATTGACAAATCCAGGGAAGAGTATTGATGAATGAAACTCTGAGTAATACATGCTTCAAACAACAGGCAGATACACATTCCCACTTGCACACAGGCCCTTTTGGAATGGTTCCCTGAAGAACCATGTTGAAAGTTGGCCAAAATATGCCACATGGTTCTACCTCACATGACAGCAGATCACACAGAAATCCTCCAGCAAAGCTTAAGCAAAGGCTTGGCACGCCAATAATTTCCTCTCTTCTCGCTTCCCCGCAGATGTTTCTGGAGATGAAAAGGACATAGTGTTCCTCATTGACAGCTCTGACAGCGTTCAGGCAGATGGGCTTGCTCATATTCGGGATTTCATCAGCAGAATTGTCCAGCAGCTGGAAGTGGGGCCGAACAAAGTGCGGATTGGGGTGGTGCAGTTCAGCAATAGTATCTTCCCCGAGTTCTACTTGAAGACCCACAAGTCCAAAAATGCCGTCCTGGAAGCCATCCGCCGCTTGAGGCTTAGAGGTGGGTCCCCCCTGAACGCTGGCAAAGCCCTTGACTTTGTGGTGAAGAACTACTTCATCAAGTCTGCGGGGAGCAGGATAGAAGATGGAGTGCCCCAGCACCTGGTTGTCATCCTTGGAGACCGGTCCCAGGATGACGTGGACAGACCTGCCAGAGTGATCACTTCCACAAACATCAAACCTCTGGGTGTTGGAGCCAGGAATGTGGACAGGGACCAGCTGCAGGTCATTACCAATGATCCTGGGCGTGTGCTTGTGGTGCAGGACTTCACGGGACTCTCAACCTTAGAAAAGAGGGTGCAGAACATTCTTGATGAGCTCCCAATACCTACAACAGACTCACCTGGACCATTCCCACCTGGTAAGCCTGCTATTCACCCTGGAGGCTTTTCTGAACAGAGTATAGATGGTATTTGTATAAAGTGAAAATGATGCTGTAATAACACCTTTTGATTCCCAAACCTTTAGTTGCATTGATTAAAAAATTTCTTTGAAGTTGTTGAGTTAGGAAAGAATATAGTAAAATCTGAAAGGAGATGAGGGTGCCTATCAGAAGTAATGCTGTATGAAGTGTTATACAAAAATTTTCTTGTATGGATGTAAAATCCAGCCAAGAGTCAATGAAATTAAAATGTTAGAAAGGAGAGAGAAATTTAATTTGCAAAGTCCTACTTCACAATGCTCTGAGCAGCTTAAATGTTATAGATGCTGTAAGCAATTACTAACAACTGTATTTTCTTTGTAATCTTTTCAGGAAGTAAAAAGCAAGCTGACATTGTGTTTTTGCTGGATGGCTCCATCAATCTGGGGAGAGATAACTTCCAAGAAGTTCTTCAGTTTGTCTACTCTGTGGTGGATGCCATTTACAGGGATGGCGACTCTATCCAGGTAGGACTGGCCCAGTACAACTCGGATGTCACTGATGAATTTTTCCTCAAGGACCACTCCACCAAAGCTCAGATTTTAGATGCTATCAACAAAGTTATCTACAAAGGCGGGCGAGTGGCGAACACCGGTGCGGCCATCAAGCACATCCAGGAAAGACACTTTGTGAAGGAGGCTGGCAGCAGGATTGACCAGAGGGTGCCCCAGATCGCCTTCATCGTCACGGGTGGGAAGTCTACGGATGATGGTCCAAGGGCCTCCTTGGAAATCGCGCAGAAAGGCGTCAAGGTGTTCGCAGTCGGTGTGAAGAACATTGACCTGAAGGAAGTCAGCCTGCTGGCCAGTGAGAACGCCATGAGTTTCAGGGCATCCACAGCCCAGGAGCTGTCGGAGCTGAATGAGCAGGTCCTGGTCACACTGGAAGCTGCCATGGAGGAGAGATTGTGCCCAGCACCAACAGATGTGACAAGAGGTAAGAACAATCCCTTCATGATGTTCCCAGGTCATTCTCAGGGGTGGATTTTAATGTTCAATGTGTTTTGATGGACTTGTCTGTCCTACTTTGTGCTTTGCCTATGGTCTGAGGTGCAGGATGGGCTCCTTTCTCCTCCAGGAGTCTGATGGAGGCTGCAAACTTTTGGTACAAGAGTTGCCTGTCTATGGACTTCAGCCTGTGAATGACTGGAGTGACATCACCACAGAGGTGCCATCGTGGTGGAACTCATTTCCCATGTGACAGCTAGGCACTAAATCATTGGTCTCTGACCACCACATTTAGCCTTTGGACTAAATCCCACTTTGGACTAAATCCCACTTTGGACTTTCTCACAGGGACATGCTACCAATATTACCTTGGCAGACCAACTTGTTTCTTGCCAAAATGAAAAGTGATGCCCCTTGTTTCCCCTCCCTGTGTCTATTACAATATAATCAAAATTTTTGTCCATTCAGGCATGCATGGTATGCTGGAAATCACAGAATCACAGGATTCTAGTATAGTTTTAGTAGGAGGGCACTCCAAATATAATCTCGTTACAACTTCCCTGCCATGAATCACCTCCCACTATCCCAGGTTGCTTCAAGCCCCGTCCAACCTGACCTTGAACACTTCCAGGCATGGGGCAGCCACAGCTTCTCTGGGCAACCTCTGCTAGGGCCTCCCCATCCTCTCAGGGAAGGATTTCTTCCCAATATCCCATCTTTCCCTGCCCTCTGGCAATGGGAAGCCATTCCCCCTGCTGTCACTCCAGGATCTTGTCCAAAGTATATGTCCCAGCTCTCTTGTAACCCCTTTAGACAATGGAGGGGAAAACCAGAATTTCCCTTGCCAGATCATCCAGGATACCCACCTGGTCTCATGACAGGTATATAAGGAAAAAAACAGAGTGGTTGTAGTTTATGGTAAAATTGCCGTAAGAAGGAATCCCATGGTTACTTCAGAAGCCAAGCAGGGGAATTGTGGTAAGTGAGCTGGTATTGCTGTCAGATCAGACTCCCAGCAGCTGCTTTTACTTACTACATTACAGCCAGTCCTACTCCCAGCACGGCTGATCATGGCTCAGCCCTCTGACTTTGAGCAGAGGCATCTCCTAAGCCTCTGGAGAAGTGGAAAGAGAGGCACAACAGCCCTGAGCTGAGCAGCAGCTCCAGCTAAGAAAAACTGAGTGCTGGGAATAGCAAACCACTGCTGGTGGTATTAACTTATCCCAAGTGTGGATAAGATATTAACCAGGCAGTGTGGCTAATATCAAAGAGAAATCAAACACCTTCCTGTGATTCTCTGAGTGTCACTTCCAGCACAGGCAGAAGGTGCACACTGTACAAGTACTGACAGGTTTCCATGTGCTGGAGAGAGAAAAGCAGTCTTAGCTGCCTGATGAAAATGCAAGTTTCTCTTGGACTTGGTTTAGGCAGCTCGTCCCAGTGCTAAAATTAAAAAAAGTAAATTAATAAAACACAAGTTTTCCCAGGTTATCACTGCTATGGTGAAAGGAAACAGAAGGCGCTTGTGCATCAATTGGTGTCAGTTCTTGATGCAGTGCCCTCATTAACTACTAAAGGAGTAATTAGAAAAGCCAGTTCTTGAAAACCAATCATTGCATTGCTCCATGATGCTCTTCTCTCTTTCTTCATTCCCCTCTCAGACTGTGACTTAGATGTGATAATTGGCTTCGATGTCAGTGATGTTGGGCCCGGTCAAAACATCTTCAGCTCCCAGCGAGGCCTGGAGTCGAGAGTGGAGTCCGTGCTGAACAGGATAATGCAGATGCAGAAGATCAGCTGCACTGGCAACCAGGCACCCAACGTCAGGGTGGCCATCATGGCCCAGGCCCAGGGGGGACCCGTGGAGGGGCTGGACTTCTCTGAGTACCAGCCCGAGCTCTTGGAGAGGTTCCTGGACATGCGGACCCGCGGGCCCTATTACCTCAGGGCAGACACACTGAGGTCCTACCTGAGCAAATTCCGATCCTCGCCCGCTGGCAGCACCAAGGTGAGTCAGGGTCAAGACCTCTGGGGTGGTATTGGCCAGCAAAGCTGACTTCTGATGTCCTTAGGTTGGTAAAGAAACTGTAAATTCATAATAATTTTAAAAAATTAATTAAATTAATTGAATTTATTCACCATAAATGTAGTCACTTAAGCCCTACTTGTTTGCTGCACTGTATTGTCACAGTCCTGTCCTGACAATTGATGAGCATCACTGCAGCCAGTTCCCACAGTCACTGCTTAGCTGCAAATGATTGATCTCCAGATATTTCCTGTGTTGTGCTCTATCAACACCTGTATGATGTACAGGAACAGGAATGTACAGGAACCTGGCACAGGAATGCAGAGCTTCATGGCCTGGAAAAGGTGTGGAAGTCCCCTCACTCTCTCTCAGATGAAGCACTGGAAAAAGGCACTTCAGGTTGCATATAGATTGTGATTCACACCTGAAATATTCTGGGTCCTGATGGAAATTTGTTTCTCTCCCAGGTCATAATCCATTTTACTGATGGTGTAGATGAGCCAATAAATCAGCTGGAGGCTGCTTCGTCCACTTTACACTCAGAAGGTAATTTTTTTGCTCTTCTAGGCAGTGATTATAGTCCATGTTATCATATAGCCCATTTTACCACAATTTATCCTAAATTCATCTGCTTTTGATAGTACAGGCTAAGGATTTTGTGAGTTCTACATGCACTTGCTGTTCTTCACTGCCTTCCTGTGATGTTTAACTGCCTGCTGCCACCTAAGCATGTGGGCAACTTACACTGGATCTGTTTGAAGATCCTTGATCTCTATTGAAAAGGCTTTCAATCAAAGATATGGATAACCATGTGTTCTCACAGGGGAGAGGTGTGCAGGCCCTGCAGAGCACCTCTCCCCATCACACATCCCCTTCTGCTTCTCTGCCAGGAGTCAATGCTCTCATCTTCGTCGGGCTGGACCGAGTGACCAACTTTGACAGGGTGATGCAGCTGGAGTTTGGCCGTGGATTCACCTACAACAGACCACTCAGAGTTAATCTGCTGGACTTGGATTTTGAGCTGGCAGAGCAGCTTGTAAGTATCTTGGCACAGGCAGTGCTGCCTTGTAATGCTGGAGGAAAGCCCACGGCTGGATCTCCAGCAGGGTTGAGCCGTGGCTGGATTACACCCTCTTGGCTCTGCTCCTCTCCCCTCCCTGCCTCACGTCAGCTCTTTCCACAGATGCCACAGCAAACAAAGTTCAGAGCAGATCACGGTCTCTTCCCACTCCTGAAGAAACCCTACTCCAGCTGAGGCTTTAGGTCAAATGGGATGGGCTAAGATGCCATCAAAAGCTGCAGTGCCAAAAACCCGCCCTCTGCCTGTGTTTACACTGTTGTTTTTTTTTAACTTTACAGTAATGCCCTGTCGTGCCTGGTCAGTGCTAAACCTCTTGTAGAAGCGTTGCTTTCGAGGTTTCTTTCCCTGATCTCATGCATTGCCTGTATTTTAGACATGCTTTTACAAATGAAGGAGTTACCCTTTAAATCCCTTCCAACCTAACCCATTCCATTCCCATTCTTTCTTCTTCATAGATTTACTTCATTCCCAATGCATAGTCCCTCTTGAGTGTTGAGTTAATTTGCTGTCAACCTCTGTATGTCCAGTTTCTCCCAACTTTTCAGCTGCTACCAGCATGATTGAGCTCCTTTTCCAATAAATTTAATAAGACTGGGTTTAACCACTGGTCCCTGTGGTAACCTTGCTGGGCCCTTCCCCACAAATCAAAGTGTAGCCATTTGTGAGTGAGCCTTGGGTTTTGGGATAAGAGTTGGTCCTCAGCCCCTCCCCAAGTAATATAGCCTAGGAAAACCCTTCCAAAATGTGAATGTGCGAAGCTGGCAGGAAACGTTTGCAGCCAGCAATGTACTTGGCAAAGAAAGTGACTTTTTTCCCCTCTTCTTTCTGATGGATGATGTAAAACCAAGCTGTGGTTTCTCTGAGTCCATATAATTCTTTTTAACCTTTTTTTTCTCCTTTACCGTGTGCTTGCAAACTGTTCTCGGCCTGTGGGCTGCTGGTGAGCTGTGACTTTCTCGTGGCCTTCTCCACAGACTGGAATTTTTTCCTTTGACAATGAGATTTCTCTCTTCAGTGACAGGCACAGCTCTGGGGACTGGTGTCCTATAACATGCACTCAATGAATTCTACCCCACGCAGTTTCTGTTTAAACCCTTCCCTCTGGTGTCCAAAATCAGTGGTGTTGGGGCTCTGGCAGGTTTCTAATGCTTTCACTTTCCATTTTTCCTGCAGGATAATATCGCAGAGAGGACGTGCTGCAAGGTCCCCTGCAAGTGCTCAGGACAGAGAGGGGACAGAGGTGTGCCAGGCCCTATAGGACCAAAGGTAGGTCACTTCATCTGGGGATGAAGGGTCCCTGTGCACAGGTGCCTGGTGGTGACGTGCAGGTCGTGTAGTTGCAGTGTATGATGTTAATTGGGAGATCAGCTTCATTTACTCCCCGCATTTGAGAACTGACCTTGGGACATGCAGAGCAATTGAGGGCTGCTCTTCTTCCCTTTCCCCACAGCCTCAGTGCTGCAAAACATCCAAGAGGGCAGGGATAAATGTCTGGAAAGATAGGGTGAAATGTCCTGTGAAGCAAATTAGGGACATCAAAAGGAGATTATATCTCTCCAAGCAGTTACTTTGTGCTTATCTAGGGAAATCTTGAATATCAATCACAGAACTATGAAGGAAATTCACAATTTTGTTTTTTATCTTCTAGGGTGTCACAGGGGATCTTGGCTACGGAGGCTACCCTGGTGATGAAGGAGGACCGGTGAGTGACTGCCCCTGTTCAAATGGGGATCTCACCATAGTCAAGTGTTTGGAGGTGTTTCCACTAAATGAAAAGACTCCGAATTTTTTCTGCTGGGAATGTGGTTGTGGGTTAGAAGAGACAGCAGAATTCTGAGTTTCCCACACCTGACATGCTGAGTTGCTGGTCCCAGATTCTCCCGAGAGAAAATCAGTAGGGAGCTTCTTGAGAGCTGGAGAAGGATGATGGGGAAATAACTCCCATTATTTGATGTCACCCATCTCTGTGCTATTCCCTAAGGCAAATAAAATCCTCAACTTCATCAAATCTGCAGCCTATGCCAAAGTTATCCATACCACCTGCAGCTGAAAGATTTGAGTTAGTCCAAAAGTGGAACCAAGAGTGATGTTCCTATCCCTCACACGGCAGACAACGTGAATCCCGTGAACTCTTACTAACACTCTTCATCCAAACTTTGCATGAATCCCACGTCAGCCCTGGAATAAACATCCCTCCATGCATCACTCCCAAGGGCTGAAGCCAAGGCCAAGGGGCTGACGGTGCTTGTGGCTTTTCCAACAGTGCAGGCAGGGGCCAAAGGCAATGTTTTCCTGGGGCTTGAAGGTCAGGACGGGATTAGACATCTGTGCAGAACTCTGAGAGCTTCTTCTTGTCATTTTAGTTTTGAAAGAGTGGTTTCACAAAGCTCTTTCACAGCTGAGGGACTGGGAAGGATGTTTCTCTCTCAATGATGAAGACTTGCAGTTGGTCTCTACGTGAGGAAGGTTGTGGGCAAGAGACGGTGGGGTTGCCAGGCAAAACCTGCTGCTCCTGTGCCTCCAAGCTACCTCCTGTGACAGATAACCACAGCAAAAGGCTTAGCAGGCAGCTCCTGACTGTTGTTTTTCCCCTCTATGCACCAGGGTGAGCGTGGACCACCGGGTGTGAATGGGACACAAGGTTTCCAGGGATGCCCTGGGCACAGAGGAACAAAGGTAGGTGTGGAATAAGCCTGCACAGAGCAGACCCAGAGTTCAGCGGGTGGGAGTCCCCCAGGGGTAATTCCTGCTGCTTCAGGAGCTCACACAACCATGTGCCCTTGAGTGGTTGTGTCCACCTGGCCAGGCACCAGGGTTTTCAGAGGCTGTTTTGGCTTTGGTGCTGCTATGAAGAACAAAAAGGCAGCCCAGAGACCCAGGCTCAACCCACAGACAAGGATGATCTATCTTCTGTAGTCTGGCTCTGGGGGAAAGATTTGGGAAGAGATGGATGTGCGTGTCTTGGCACAGGGCTGGGACAGTGAGTGGGTGGAACTCTGCTGCTGGGGAAGAGGGAGACAAGTGAGCCATGGCTGAGGAACCTTGAGCTAATGGTCCAGGACAGCAGCTGCACCCCAAGCCAGAAAAGGTGGTGAAACATATAATGTTTATGGGAAGTAGTGAAATTAAGGGGATGTTTCCTACCATTTGCTCTCACCACATGATCCTCTGGCAGAGATAAGAGGAATGCATGAACCAAGCCCATTAGCTGAGATACTGAGTCTTGTTAAAAATCTGTTCAGCCTTGGACAAAGGCACTAGGACTGGGTCTGGATTAACATAAAAATGGGTGCAGGGAGAAACTAAAAGTCAGTTTGTCAGTCAGTCAGAAGGAAGAGTTGTGGCAAGGAGTGAGATATTTTATTGGATCAGCTGGATTAACCCCCATGCCCCACATATTTTGTCTTGGCACAAGTGCTGGGGAGGCAGCTGAAGACAAACATTGACATAAGAAAAACTAGGGAAAGTCCTGTCCTGGTTGTAGCTCTGGGTCTGACACCAAACCCAGCCCTCTTTCTCCACTGCTTCCTATGGCAGTGAGCTGAACAAAAGTGGAGTAACACTCTTTTCTATCTCCTTAGGGTTCTCGGGGATTCCCAGGAGAGAAGGTAGGGAGCTATTCCCTCATGCCACAGCAGCGAGCGTGAGTGTGTGGCACATCAATATCCCCCGCCTTGTTCCCCCTTCCTCTCAGTCAGCATTTGCTTCTTGCCTCCCTTCCACAGGGTGAACTGGGAGAAATGGGTCTGGATGGCATTGATGGAGAAGAGGTCAGTAATTTTAATTGTTTTTCTCTTAATGACTTGATGCTTCAGTGAAGTATCTAGAAAGCACCTTGGAAGTGGCAAATATTCTAAAATATTTTTCTGTTCTTTTAGGGAGACAAGGGTTTGCCTGGCTCCTCTGGAGAGAAGGGATATTCTGGCAGGAGGGTAGGCTTTGATCTCTTTTATAGTGAGGCTAAATGATGCTGTAGAGGTGGATTTGAGCCAAGGGAGGGAGGAAAGCCATCGTGCTCCCCTCAGGGCTGAGGGCTGGGCAGAGATGTTTTCAACAAGCAAGAGCTGCTCCTCCTAACTCTCCATCTCTTCCCACAGGGAGATAAGGGAGTTAAGGGTGAACGAGGGGAACGAGGTGATCGTGGGCTCCGTGGAGATCCGGTAAATATTGCTAAGGAATCTTCTTCATTTTCCACCCACTTTCCACTGATCCTGGAGTCATCAGAGAGGGTAGCTCTGGCTTATTAAATGCTGTTTCACAGTGGCAGGTCCCATGACAGAGCAAGGACTCAGAAGTGACACATAGATACCATGTTATACCAACCCATCAATCTCTGCTTCACCATATTAAATTCCCCTTCCTCATCTTCTTCAATATTACTTCTCAGTTGAAAAGCTGTGTCTGGCTGAAAACAGCTGAAATACTTAATCTATTTCAGTCAAAAAGGGGGAAAAAAAGGGAAAAGTTGGTTCTCAGCTCTAGCAGAGAACTCTCAGTTTATGAGATTTGATTTTCATGCTCCACTTACACAGGTGTTTCTCATTGCTCTGTTGCTTTCAGGGAGATTCAGGAGCTGATAATACTCAACGGGGCCCCAGAGGACAAAAGGGTGAAATTGGACCAATGGTAAATTTTTTTTGTTGTCTTGTGTTGTTTTTTGGGTTTTACAACAGAACGAGCCGGAGAAAGGGAGAAAAAAGGATGCTGCCAAAAAGATGCAAGTTCCTTAATCTCATTGTGCCTTGTCAGATGGAATATTTTTTTCCACTAGAAAATGTTGTTGGTTTGCAACCAAAACTTTCTCTGGGAAGATGTCAGTTTAGGAGATGTTTTGTGTTAAAAAGCACCTTTAAAAAAATTATTATTATTTTACAATGCGTTTTTGGGATATTGCCTCTAAAAATAACTTTGTACTTGGAAATTACCTTTGTATGTTCTCATGGGTCATATACAAAAGCAGAGAACTGATTAGATTACATCAAATCTAAACCTCCTGATTCACCTTTGCAAGAAAAAAAAAACAAACCACAAGTTCCTTGGAAAATTGCAAAACCCATCTGTTTTCACATCAGCTCACAATAAAAAATGTGTCTTAAATTGTCAGAAGGCATTTCCCAAAGAACAGGAATGTTGATCTCTGCTGGCTCAGAAACTTGATGGAAATTCTCTGTGAGTTAGAAGGATTCCCACCAAAGGCAGGACTATTAAATTGTGTGAAAGCATGAAAGGAGACATTTTTTGAGATCTGAATCTATTTTCCCAGTGCCTGCTCATCTCAGGGCTCTCACTTGAGTTTTGTTTTTCCCTTAGGGAGATCCTGGACCGGCAGGGCCAGAGGGCCCAGATGGTGAAGTGGGGAGGAGGGTGAGTTGCCAGACCTCCAGTCAGCAAGGCCCAGGCTTAGATTGACCATAACTTTTCCTTCCTTTCCATGTATTTTGTTTCACAGACATCAGGAATTCAACTTAAAAACCTAATAAGCCACCCCCCAAAAAAAGACAAAAATCTCAAAAGGAAGATGCCTCATGGCTTCCTGGCTTGCTGTAGAGACTTCAAAAGTAAAATTTATTCCCATGCAAATAACTCAGAGCTCAGATTAGAGGAGCTACACATGATTTATATTTAACGCCAGGTTGGATGGTGCTTGGAACAACCTGGTCTAGTGGAAGGTGTCCTTGCCCATGGCAGGAGGTTGGAATGAGATGGTCTTGAAGGTCCCTTCCAACCCAAACCAGTCTGTGATTCCATGATATGCATCTGCATTTGGCTGCTGGTTTTGGAAAGGCACAAGTGGAGCTTGAGCTGGGATGTGTTCCCTGTTGTGTGTCCCTCCTGTCCCAGGGATGGTGACACACTCCTGACATGCATGAGGGAGCAGCTCACCTATATGGGGGATGTGAGGAGGGAAAAAACATGCCCAAGTCTGATTTAAGAGATCTGACCATGTGGATTTCCCTTTGCTCCCTGTAGTTTAAAACAGCCAAATGTTAATTTTTGGACTATGAGAAGCATTGATAAGAAGCATTTATCTAAAAGCAATAGGGGAAGGTGTGCTTACATATTAGATCAACAAACCTCATTGTTCCTCTATTTGCAGGGCATGGCAGGACGAAGGGGGCCCATAGGAGTAAAGGTAGGTGGTGATGGGACAACACATGGGGCTCCTGCCACACCATGGGCCAGGCAGCCTCAGCACCCAGAGGGATTTGCCAAGAGAAGGCACATGCAGGCTTTGCTTGTTCCCCTCTGCCTCCTCTCTCCTCCAAATTTCCCAACTCCTCCTCCTCCTCCTCAGGCTCATCTCTCTGTGTGCTCTTTGCTGGACTTGGTGCAGAACCAGCTGTCCACGTGCCTGCCTGTCTCCCACAGTATTCCCTGGCTGGATGTTTTGTCCCCGTGTGCTGCTGGAGCAGTGTAACAGGGCCAAGGCATGATGGCTGATGGCTATCGATTGCAGGAGGCAAATTGCCCCTGCAATGGGGCAATCACTGTGCTTATTGTCTGCTATCACCATATCTTGGTGATAAAAACCCAAGGAAAAAGCCCAGCTGAAAATCCATTCTTCCCTGCTCTTTGTGCAGCTGTGGATACCCTGATCTCCCCTTTCCCTTCCCATGGTGCTGACCACATCCTCCCATGTTAACCTGCACTGTGCTTTTTTATCCTTCCAGGGCACCAAGGGCTCGCCTGGTCAGCCAGGGCCAGCTGGAGAACAAGGCATGCGAGGGCCACAGGTCAGTGAGCTCCCAGCAGAGGAAAGGCCTTGCCTCATGATGATGTGGTGTTACTTCATCACAGCCACTTCCCCAGAGAGTCTCACCCACAAAGACTGTTGGGATTTGGGTATTTTTGGGTGAGCTGTGACCTGGCTATCCTGCCAGCCACTGTGTTCACACCAACCGAGGTGTGACGTGTTTGCAAAGCATCCCTCAGACACTGCAGCACTCACTTCCCTTTGGGTCTTGGTGTGTTTGTGCCCACGTGTGCTGACGACCTCTCTTTTCTTCCCACACAGGGTCCCCCTGGCCAGGTTGGCACACCAGGCATCAGAGGAGAGCAGGGTGTCCCTGGACCCAGGGTAAGTCTGCTGCTTCCCAGACATTGGCCCAACTATGCTATTGTTGAACGAATAAGATTCCAATGTGTCTTTACATTCCCCTCTCCTAGGGCTCCAGCTCTGTTCCACCCCCTTTTAACACTCTCTTCTAGCATGATTCTCCTCTCAGCTTATGCTTAAGACTTCTTGATCAAGAGTTACAGAAGAAAAAGAGCTAAAAGCAACCACAGAGGGGTCAGACTTTCAGTGTTTGGCCCATTATTGGAATTTTAGTTAAAGAGTATTCTTGAGTGATTGGTGGGGATCTCTGTGATGTTTCATCCTCTGAAGCCAGAGCTTGACCATCTCACATGCCTGCAGGGGCCAGCTCATGTATTTATTTCTCCCTCTTGCTGCATTCCTCAGCCATTTGGCATAAAGCCATATTGCATTTCCCCACCCCCAGCATGATTTTCCCCCTCTTGCTTTCCTGTGGGTGCTTTCTTAGGGACAATATAAATTGCTGCTGACATTTGCATTGAATTGAGCCGGACCTCCAGCTCTTCCCAAACATGAAGCAGACTTCTGAATTTCCTGAGGTGTTTTGAGAGATACCAGCCTGACTAGTCATACATGATTTCTCTGGTCATCCACTTCCCTATTCCTGGCCCCTGAGCTTTTTTGAATGTTGCCAATATGCCTGTCCTGATTTCCATTCCAGGCAGGGAGTGGACCCCCAGGACCCCCAGGAGAACGTGGCAGGATTGGTCCCCTGGGAAGAAAGGTATGTCTTCAGGAGCACTGGGCACCAGCAACTAAAGCTGCATCAAAAAGCTGCTGGATTTTGCATGGGCTTGAAGAAATAGATGAGATAAACCTCTTGGGCTTTCACAGTGCGGATAAAAGCAGCTCTGTGCTCATTGTCTCATTAGACTCCCATTTCAGTGAACAGAAAGGCAAAAGTAACTGAGCAACTGAGATCCCGAATCAACATTCCTGAGCAGATTCTCAGAAAATGCCCATGTGGGAAGGTTTTATCTTTCCTGAAATCACCAAAGATCCCACAAAAGAGCATGTACATGGCAGTATTTCGGGCTGTGTAGGTCCACTCATGCCTTTCTGCCACGTGCAGGGTTGCAGGTTGCTATGTGAGAAGAAACCAGTGTTGATGGGGTGGGAAGGGCTCAGAGCAGCCTGGAGTTCTAGCACATGCTTTAACAGATGCTCTTCTTTTTAGGGTGAGCCTGGAAACCCTGGACCCAAAGGGCCGAACGGACAGCCGGGCCCACGAGGAGAGATGGTGAGTGTGCTCATGCTCTCACACCTCTAAGGACACTTAAGGAACTTCAAGGAACATTTAAGAGTTTCACAAAGTCCTGTGGCTTCAGTGGTTTCTGTCTACTGGTGCTGTTGGACCTGTGGGGTTTAAGTTGTTTATATATGACGTATCATTTACGTATTAATGACTCTGGCTTTTCAATTTCAGGGTGATGATGGACGAGATGGAATTGGTGGCCCGGGTCCTAAAGGCAGGAAGGTAGGTGTATGCTCAGCATTCCCACCTCCTCAACAAGGACAAGGAAGCAGCCAAGATCTCCAGCGCAGATGGATGAGGGTATTTTCTAGAACATATCCAAATTAACCTTTCTGTTGTTTCAGGGAGAACGTGGCTTTGTAGGTTATGCAGGGCCAAAGGTAGGTGCAGCCCATGAGCTGTGCATTTATTTTCCAAGCCATTTTCCATGGGCCTGTGCAGGTTTAGAGCTGCTGTTTGTGGTTTTCCCCTCCTAGGGAGGACCTGGTGACCGTGGTGTTGCTGGAGGCCCCGGCCCCAAAGGAAACAGAGGTCGCAGAGTAAGTTGGACAATTTTAGAAATTTTCCCTTCTGCATGAATGCCCTGATAGATGGACACACCTTTTCCTCAAAGTGCTCCTGGGAGTCTTCTTCATGGAGAGGACTTCTTTGCTCTCTCTTTCTAGGGAAATGCAGGAGTACCTGGGGCACCTGGTCAGAAAGGAGAGATTGGATACCCTGGGCCATCTGTAAGTGTCCATTGCATTGCTGCTTGGCTTCATGTAATGGTGCCTGTGGGTGCCAGGCATTGAAAAATAAGTCCATCACTGTCTCCTGCTGAATTCAAGTTGGGGAAATCCCTCTGTATTTGTCTGGGATGTGTCTCTATAAATTTTTAAGCAGCTGTTTATCACTGACAAATATTTACCCTTCCTCAAACCAAAGGAAGAAGTCAAGAGGCATGCTTTTACCAGGCATTAGGAATTCCCCATGGCAATATGTCCCTTAAAATTCCTTCTAGGAGATTCTCATCTCTTTATCATTCACCACCCCACACAGAATATGGGCCATGACCAAATCTGGCTGGAACAAGGCTCCCTAGAAAGGTCAAGATGAACCTGGAGCATTGTAACTCATTGAATGGTCTGTGTTGGAAGGGATCTTAAAGACCTTCCAGTTCCAACCTCCATTTAGGGTTTGGCCTCAGCTAGGTTTACTCCTCACACAGAAGAGCCCTGCACTCTGCTGTTGGAAACACAGCTGAAAACAGACAGATTTTCCCTTGGCTCCTGCATGACCCATGGCTTGGCAGTTATCCTGACAGGGTTCATAAGGCACCCTGGAGATACACTTTGCACTCAGTACACTCAACTTCTCTTCATTCTTTGAAACAGGGCCTTAAAGGCGAGAAAGGAGAATCCAGAGATGTAAGTGTGGCATAATTTTTCTCCTGTTTTGGAACACCCTTGGGTTGGCTGTGTGACATATCTCTTTCTCCCCCTTTCTTTACTTCCTAAAGCAATGTGCGCTGGTGCGGAACATCAAAGACAAATGCCGTGAGTACCTCCTCAGTGCTTTGCTAAGCCCCTCTCTCTACCCTTATTTGCCCATCATGTTATGTTGGATGGCACTGACCAAGCTGTTTTTTTCTTTCCATCTTTTCCACAGCTTGCTGCTATGGTAAGTCTCATTCAGTCCTTTAAACCCCAGGGTGGCTGCATGTCACAATTATTGCTCTCCCCACATATGAATTATTTACCCCTGATGAGGACGCACTCCTTGAATCCTGACAGCTGTTTGAGGCATGATTTGTTCCTGATGCACATTCCCAACAGGTCCCAAGGAGTGCCCTGTCTTCCCAACTGAGCTGGCCTTCGCTATTGACACCTCCTCGGGTGTTGTGAGGGAGGTTTTCAACAGGATGAAGCAAACCGTGCTCAGAGTGGTCAACAACTTAACCATCGCCGAGAGCAACTGTCCCCGGGGGGCACGGGTGGCTCTGGTCACCTACAACAACGAGGTCACCACCGAGATCCGCTTTGCTGATGCCAGGAAGAAATCCAGCCTCCTCCAGCAGATCCAAAACTTCCAGGCAACCCTGACCACGAAGCCACGCAGTCTGGAGACCGCCATGTCCTTCGTGGCCAGGAATACCTTCAAGCGTGCCCGCAGTGGCTTTCTGATGAGGAAGGTGGCTGTCTTCTTCAGCAACGGGGACACGAGGGCGTCCCCTCAGCTCAACGATGCTGTGCTGAAGCTCTACGACGCCGGGGTTGTGCCGGTGTTCCTCACCAGCAGGCAGGATGCTGTTCTTGCCAGAGCTCTGGAGGTTGGAGTCTTTCCCCCTTTCTTTATTTTCTGTTCATGCCCTTGGTCTGATTTCATGGTGTTGGATGCCACAAGCAACGCTTGGCTTTCATGGGCCTCTCAATTGTGGAAGAGAGTATTGCTGGCCAAACACATCCATCCATTAGGAGAGAAACCCTAATTCCATAATCACCACAACACATGCTGGGAAATGCTAGTGAGACTCTCAGGAGTTCACTCTTTTCCTAGGCCATGGCTCCAGGGTGCCAAGTGTGGGATGAAACAGAAGGAAAATTATGACAGAAAGGGAAGGTGAGAGTACATTAACTTTGTTGGCAGAGGGAGAGTGGACAGGCAGAGATTGAAAGCCACGAAAAAGCCCCAGATAAACTCACTGAGCACTGGTTCAAGTGGTCCCTTTTGGAGTTTATGACTCTAAACTGATACCGAGGACACTAGGCTCCTCCAAAAGGGATCCACTGAGAGCATTGTGCTGAGCAGAGAATCCCTCAGAGCTGTGTGTTGCCCTGCCCTCCTCTGAGCTGAGAGCAACAGAAGGCAGCGTTACTGACTCTGTGTGTTTCTGTTTCCATCTCACCAGATCAATAACACAGCGGTTGGCCACGCCATTGTTCTTCCAACCAGCGGCGCTCAGCTGAATCAAACCATTCAGAGGCTTTTGACTTGTCACATTTGTTTGGGTAAAGCTTCCAGTTTCTCCTCTAGACAGTTCCAAATCCTTCTGGCCACACAGCAGTCGGTTGTAAGAAGGGAAGCCCAACTTGGGAGTTGGCCCTTTTGTTGGTGGCTACAAGGGATTGTTGGGTTGAGCAGAAAACAATGGCATTGTGAATGGGGTTCGCTGGGCGTTCTCTACTTTGTAAGGAGAATCTCCTTTTTTGTCTGGATGCCACTTTTATAGCCCAAATACTGATAGCTAAGTGCTGTAAAAGATGGCCTTCTGCCACTTTTGACAGTGTGCTTCAGGGATCCCCTTGGACAAAGGAGCACATAAAAAAATGCTGAACACACTGCTGAATGTGTTGTGGGATGAAATTACTTAGGTATCAAGCAGTGGACCAGTGAATGTCCAGGGCTTGATGGTATTCCATGTGACACAAGAGATGTTTACAGTGATGAGGGAGAGTTGTGTTTGGGTCCTGCAGGTGAAACCACCCCCTGTGTTTTTTCCCTAGATGTGTGTGACCCCCATCCCAGCTGTGTTGGAACTGGCCAGAGACCTGCATTCCGAGACAGAAGGGCAGCCCCCACGGATGTGGACTCAGACATAGCCTTCATCCTGGACAGCTCCGAGTCCACCACCCCTCTGCAGTTCAGTGAGATGAGGAAGTACATTTCCCACATTGTAACCAACCTGGAAATCAGCTCAGAGCCAAAAGTGTCCCAGCACCACGCCAGAGTGGCCGTTCTCCAGCAAGCTCCTTATGAACACGAAACCAACTCAAGCTTCCCACCAGTAAAAACTGAGTTCTCACTAACTGATTATGCATCCAAAGAGAAGATCATTAATTACCTCCACAACCAAATGACCCAGCTTCATGGCACGAGGGCTCTGGGAAGTGCAATTGAACACACAATCGCTCATGTCTTTGAAAGTGCACCGAGCCCTCGGGACCTAAAAGTCATAGTTCTGATGATGACTGGAAAAGTGAACAAAAAAGAACTTGAGCACCTGGAGAGGGTTGTCATCAATGCAAAATGCAAAGGGTACTTCTTTGTCATCTTGGGCATTGGCAGGAAGGTGAATGCCAAGAATATCTACAGCCTTGCCAGCGAGCCAAATGACGTGTTCTTCAAGCTGGTTGATAAACCAGGAGAGCTCCATGAAGAGCCCTTGATGCGTTTTGGGACGCTGCTGCCGTCCTTTATCAGAAGTAAGTGTAACATCCTGCAGCCCAAGTGTCATGGAAGGGGCAACACGTAGCCTCTGAAAGGTTTTGAGCAGCAGGACCCACTGAAGTTAGTCTCTTTTTGATGGTTTGTACGGTTTGGTGCAATTTGGGCTGCTCATAATTACCTAGTTGAGTATGTCTGGGTTTTGTTCACTTTGGCTTCCCCGTCACCTTCCATTTTGATCCACCAAGTAGAGTTTGCACTTCAGTGTGCTTTGCTTTCATCTCCATGGGCTCACCTGATCTCATCCCACCGGGCCTGCCTCTCCCATAGGTCCTGCTGAGGCCCTTTGCAGCACTTCCTTGGAGCTCCTTGAACAGGCAGCAGATCTTTCTTCCCAACTTCAGCATAAACATCATGTCCAGCAGGCCCTTGGCTGGCTCAGGCTGAGATCTGGAGTTTCTCTATGCAAATTGAAGGACCAGATGTACAGGATTCTTTGCTCAGGGATAAACAAACCTGCTGTATTTGGGATATGCTGGCTGTGCTGCAAAAATCTACATCTCAGCTTTGCTAGAGAACCCAGGCTAGACCTCCAGCTGCCACAGATCCTAAACATACCCATCCAGCAAGGATAAGAATTAGACCTCTTCTAGGAAATCTGGGTTTTAGCAAAAATTCTTGAAAATCAGATTAGTGGGCTGATATACCACAGGTTCAGGAATGTCTTGCACCAAATAGGAAGCAAACATCTAGAAATAAATGTTTAGGTTATATCAGTTTGCTTTTCCCATTTACTGCTTACAGCAGTCCTAGAAACTCCTACCTCTTGAAAAAATAACATTACCTATGTGGTTGGAAGTGCCCTCTTACAAGAAATGTGTTTATAAGTGACAGACTCAGGCAAACAACCCTCTTGTAGTTAAGGCCCTCATGTTTGTAAACTGGAATAACAAATCTTCCAGCCCAGGATGTTGCAGTAACCAAACATCAAGCAAGAATAGGAAAGTCATTTTGTTTGTTTGTTTGTTTGTTTTTAAATTCATAGGAAATAAATGTAATGTGTTGGTAGCAGGTATCCACCATCCTCAACTCCAGTATTTAATATCTCTCTCTGTCTCCAGGTGAATTTGCTTTCTACCTGTCTCCAGAGATAAGGAAACAATGTGAGTGGCTCCAGAATGGTCAGCAAGTCCAGAGCCAGCACCCCGTGCTCATCGGACAGAAAGCAGTGTGAGTAATGCTTAGGGGAAAAGGAAAGAAAAAGGAACTTAACTTTCAAAAATCAGGATTATCTTTTAATTAGTATAATTTGAATAATATTTCAATTAACTTTACTGGTTCCTCCAGTGCTGTGTGAAAAGATCAACAGAGATAGCTGCTAGAGAAGGGTGAGGTATATTTTTAAATTTGGGGTAAATTTCATATTTATATATGTATAAAAATATGAAGGAGGTATATGCTGACTTTGATCGTGTAGGTCGGGAATTCCAGAAATTATTATGAATTTGGGGCTTTCTACTCCAAGCATTATTTTTAGAGGCTGGGCTGCCCTGGGTTATCTGATACACAGCACCCATGGTAATATTTTCTGAAGAGAAGGGAAAGCTTGTGTCACCCAGACTCACTGCTGGCACAGAGCTGTCCTGGCTTTAGAAGGCCAAGCCCCTGGAAGTCAGGCATGCTACAGATCCATCTGCTGAGTTTGCCCTTATCAGAGAATCACAGAACAGTCTGGGTTGGAAGGAACCTTAAAGAACATCTTGTTCCAACCCCTTGCCACGGGCAGGGGCACCTTCCACTAGGAGCACTTTTCACTCCTCACTGTGGGCAAAGCTAAAGCTGGCAAAGACTCTTAACCTCAGGTGGGTTCTTGCCAATGGTTTCTACGTCAGCTCATCTCCACTTCCAAAATTCTGCTCAGATTCGTGGCTCCCAACGCGACTGCCAGCCAGACCTTCCCTGCCAGCACCACGGTCAGCGCAACCATCAGGCCGGCGGCGAGTGCCCACTCCAGAACCACTCCTGCCAGCACCACGGCCCAGACCAGAGCCCCCGAGACCTCCCCGGCCAGCTCCGTGGCCCAGGGGAACGCCACAGCCCAGGGAGCAGCCAGTGCCACCACCCACACCAAAGCCAGCGGCCGGGCCACCAGCAACACCACCGCGGCCGGCGGCCGGAGGAGACACAGCGGTATGTGAACTGTGGGCAGTGCCTCCCCCTAGGCTGAACCACAGCAGGCTGTGGCTCTTCTTGCCCCCTGAGAGGATTATTCCTGTGGGAAATGTCACCCACAGGCCAAATTTCAGTTTTAGGTGTAAATGAGGAAGTCTGTGCTGAAGGCATTGTCAACTTGTGTTAAGAATTCTGTGCAAAATTGTTGCCCCCAGGTAAAACACGAGCAGGAACAATGCATCCAGGTATAGAGTGCTTCTCTATCTAGTGTGGCTCATTTATTTCCATGATTTCCTTGCAGCATCACCCCTTGGCCAAGTTTTGCTATTTATGATGGTTCATATGATGGCATTGTTTGAACTCTCAGCTAATAGGAATAGTTCATCAATCATCAGTGTGGAGATGTATTTGGGAATGCCAAGCCTCTTTCATGTGAGCACAGTTCATCCAAAGGGGGTTTCCCAGGTATTTTTGCAAGGGGGTTCAGGCAGATCTGCACTAGCTGAGCAAGGATCAAAGAATGTGTCCAAGCACAGGGAAGTTCATCCAGTCACTGATGGCAAGTCCCTGCATAAATAATAAAAAGCAATAAATAAAAGCAATCAAGTTTTGAAAGGCTAATGCTTTCATCAGGTTGAGGGGAATAAACGTTCCTGGTGTTTCTTGTCCCACCAGTGTTTCAAGCAGTGTTTATAAAGGTCTCATCCAGGCAGAGCAGGAAAACCTTTCCATAACAACTTCCTTCACCTGTTAAGGTTATCATCCCTGGAAGTGTTCAAGACCAGGTTGGACAGGGCTTGGAGCAACCTGGTCTGGGGGAAGGTGTCCCTGCCCATCTTATGGGGGTTGGAATGAGATGGTCTGGAAGGTCCCTTCCAACCCAAACCAGTCTTTGGTTTTATGTTCAGTCTTGGGCAGGCTTGGCTTGAAGGTCTTCAGCAGCTCAGTGAATCCATTGCACCCTAGAGAAGGAAGGATCTGACTGGGCACTTTTACAGTTGTTGGGAAAGTGCTGGGAATTTCAAGCTGTGAGAATCTTGGAGAGGGGAAAAAAAAAGGATTTTGATTTGCTAGATTGCAGCAGATTATTAAAGATAAATAAACCACTTGGTGAATCATCTGAGCTATGTAAAACCAAGCCTCTCCTGCAGTGGCATTTGAGACAGCCAGGTACCAGCCTGGCTTGCACTTGCCATGGAAAGAAAATTCTGCAGCACTGAGGCACTTTTTCCTTGAGATCCTTCCCTCTTCATTCACTGCTTGGTGTCCCTTCTGATTCTGTCCTGCAGCCAAGACCCACGACATCCAGATCACAGATGTCACCGAGAGCAGTGCCAGGCTGCGCTGGGCCAGCCCCGAGCCGCACAGCACCTTTGATGTCACTGTCACCCTGGCACACGACCACTCCCTCGTGCAGAGGCAAAACCTGACTGGCACTGAGCACGTGGTCCGAGGGCTCAGGAGCGGGCAGAAATACGTCGTCGCTGTCACTGGCTACCAAAAATCCCAGCCCAAAGTAACCTACACAGGCTCATTCAGCACGAGTACGTGACTCCTAAAAACACGTGGGCAACAAAGAGTGGGAGGGAAAAAAAAAAAAAGGGATTGGGAATCAGTTGGTACCAATAATCCCAGCCCTGGCTGTGCTATGTCGTGTCACCTCATGTCTGCCATCAGCAGCAGCAAATGAGACGTGGCAAATGTGTTTCTTTGAAAAATGGGAGTTTACACTTCAGTGGGGTTAAATCAGCACAGAATGTGGGATAATTAAAGGCAGTCCCAGAGTTGGTTTGTTACGTGCTGGAGGGTTTGTACATCAGTGCAGAAGGTCTGGGTGGAAGCCCAGCATGCACTACTGCAATTAGTAATGAGTCAAACTGGTAAACCCAGTCCAGCCCAATTTCAAAATAAGCAAGAAAAGCTTCTTCCCTAATAGCCATTCCCATAGCTACTGATCTGCTTCCCATACTATCCAGAAAAAGCCACAAAGAGGAGAGGAAACTGAAGGTTTGGATCCCTTGAGGATCCAAACTCCATGAGTGCAGATCCATCACCAAACTCTCTGGCATGGCCAAAAGTTGCTGTCTAAGACACAGCCAAGTTTTATTTTAATACAGTTGGCACAGGGGTGACTTGGCTTGGTGGTGTGAAGTTTGTGCTGGTCCTGACAGTGCCATGTCTGGCTTCGTCTGGAATTTCCAAGACAATTCCAGTGCCCATGGAGAGCATTTCCTCTGGCTTCAGTGGGTTTGGACCAGTCCCTTACCTTTGCAAGCAATAAAGATGCCTACAAAAATATTGAGAAAAGACATCAGTGGGCAGAAGTAACATTTGCATGTGCTGAATTTGAGCTCCCGATGCCCAGGGAAGCTGCTTTTCCCATGGAATTAATCTTGAATGGGAATAAATGGAGTAGGCAGTGGTGGCAAGCTGTGACCTGGACACTGAGTAGGATTCTCCTCCTTAGCCACACCCAAACCATATACTAAAGAAAAGCAAATCCAGCCCTTCCTATGGCTGCAGACCCCTCCATGGAATTTTTTTCACAATCCTCACCATAGCTCCTAGGGGGATGTGAAGCCTTATGGGAGGAGTGTGGTCCAAGAGAGCCCTTGAGGGAACAAGAGAGTACAGATCCATCATGGATTGGCTCCCCTGGGGGGTGCCATTTCTATTCTGCCATCTGCAAGGCCAGGAGACCAAAGCTAAACTGGCTCCAGAGAGGCCACATCCAGCTCCTGAACCCCTGCCCTGTCCATGCTGTGGGGTGGGTGGGGACATCCAAAGCAGTCACATGGGGCCCTGAGGATGCTCCTCTGTGGATGAGCCCAAGCAGAGCCACTGGCTGGGGACAGAAGGTGATCCCATCCTGGCACAGCCGGGCAGCTGGGGATTGCTCATCCATCAGCTGCCTCCAATAAACATTTCTCGTCTCTGTGTGCTGGGCTAAACAGATCCAGATCTGTCCCCAGTGCTGGAGCTGGGGCCAGGGAGTGAGTTGGTGGCTGCAGTGAGGATGCTGCTGCTGATGCCCTTCCCCTTGACTGACCCTCTGCCTCCTCTCCACAGAGACCCCAGGGCAGTCCCAGGTGTCCCTGGCCAACATGATGCTCAACACTGAGCCACTGGAAGGGCCTGAGAGTGGTGAGTGTGGGCCACGGGGGGATTGCTGGGCTGGGGGCTCTCAGTCCCACTAACACCAGGGGATCTGCAAGTGCTTGGCTCTGCAGAGCCAGCTGACCACGGCCTTGGTGACACCCTTGGCAGTCCGGGGGTCTCTGCCTCATTTCATGGCTTTGGGTGACATCAAGCTCATCACATCGGTGCTGTCACACTCAGTGTCACAACCCCTCCTCCAAGGACTGGAAGGGCTCTCAGCCTTCATGAAGCAGCACAGCCACTGCAGGCACAGCAACAATGGATCTGTCATCCAAAACTCATCCCTGAATCATCGCTCCCATGTTTTCCTTCAAACATTTCGCTTGCGCTGTGGCTCATTGTCTTCACAAAGCGGTGTGAGAGCACGGGGAAATGCTGCTGCTCAGTGTGTTCAGCCAGGAGCTGTGGAGCTGCTGTTGAGCTCTGGCTGCTGGTGTTGAGTGGGATGAGCATGGATCTCATTCATGCCTGGCTGGTGGCACCACTGGAGCTTTGTGCAGCCAAGGGGCCAAGGGTTCGTGCAGGACCAACTCGTTTCACCTTCCTGCATGACCCTTCCTCATTCCCTTCCCATGTGCTCCTGCTCTTTTGGCCCCTCTCCCCGGCACTGACACCCCCCTCATCCCCCCTCGTTCCCACCAGGTGACAAGCACCCCCTGGCTATGTTTAACCCCTTGCTTAACCCCTTGGCACCAGCCCATGGGGAAATGTGGGCTTCTCCTGCTCCAGGGCAAAGGGATGTGCTGTGTGCTTGCTGTGCACTTCCACACAGACCTCTCCATCTCAGCTCCACTCGCTGGCCCACTTGCAGCAAATGCCTCCAGCTGAGGATTTATGGCAGCCAGCAATCTGGGGGGAGCATTCCCCAGGGATGCTAATCCAAAGGTTTTCAACAAGATAAAGGCTCTAAAGAGGGCAGGGAATTGGGGATGGGTTTAGCTGAGCCTCCTCTAGGTCATGGGAGACACCCATGTGTAAATCTTCCAAGAGACCTTTGAGGAAAGCCCACACTCTGCACTCCTTTTATAGGTAAAATAGCATGGATGGCCCAGCACAGCTAATAAAAACTCTGGGATTTGGTCCTAAATTATCATTTTTGGGACAGGAAAGGAACATATATTTAAGCCTTCATAGAGCCTTCACATATACCAGATGCAACTTGCTTTTAGAGATAAACACACTTAAGGACTAGAAGTTACTGCCAAGACAAAGAGCTTTGAAAAGAGAGTGGGGGGATTTGTGTGAGGGCTCAGTCCTGAGTGCACCAGTGGGAGCAAGGGGTTCCCACTATGTTACTCCTAAGATCTGGGGTTTGGATCTGTGACAAAACCAAGAGCAAGAAGAAGTAAAGTGGAGGCTGAGGAAGGTTTGCATCCAGCAAAGTAAGACAAAACACATGAGAGGGAAATGCCACCAGTCCTGAACCAGACTTTGTTTTCCCTTTTTTTCTCTTTTCAATCTCTTTGCTTTTCCAGCTTTTAACTCTCTCAGAATCACTTAACCTTTGCACCTTTTGCCATGCAGATTGGCCAGATCCTTGCTTGCTGGACTTTGACATGGGCATGCAGTGCAAGGACTATCAGATTGTGTGGTTCTTTGACTCCAAACACAAGTTCTGCAGCCAGGGTTGGTATGGTGGCTGTGGAGGTAATGCCAATAGATTTGAGACCGAAGCTGAGTGCAATAACAAATGCTTAAAGCCATGTAAGTACCCCATGAGGATTCACCCTTTTGCATTTTGTCCTATTGTCAAATGATGTTTGGATCAGAGAAAAAGCACCATTTAAAATCCAAACCCGTGCACTTTTTCCTCCTCCAGCAGCAGATGAGAAAGCCATGCAGCAGCCACCCCTTGAGAAAAGATTGTCATCAGGTAACACACCCCCCAAAAAATTAATCATCACAAACAAAGCAAATCCATTCTCTCACCTTGACCATTTCACAGCATGCATCCAAGCCTGTCCAACCCCACATCAAAAGTAGCACAGACTTAGTTTTCACTTGCTCCTTCACACGACCATGCCCTTCCATCTGCTTTGCATGAGCCAGTCACTTTGCATGTGTGTTGTCCCACTAGGACGTGCTGTGTTGGCACAGCCCGAGTGGCAAAGCTCACTGGGCTTCATGAGGGACCTGGGGCTGCTGAACTGGAGCATGGCATGGTCCCAAACCAGTTTGTGTTACCTCTGTGTGACCAAGAAGCGCCACCCCTCTGCTGCAATGCAGAGAATTCCCAGCATTTCACTGCCTGTAACCAAAGCACCTGATGGAAAGTGACTCCATGGGGCTCAGGCATTGCATGGAGTCGTTTTCCTTCATCACCAAAAGAGAAAAGTCAAGGTTGAGGGAGGAGCCTGCAGGAAAATGGTGATGCCCTCCTCTTCTCAAGGAGTTTCTGAGGTTAAGGGGTTATGTTTGCAGACCTCTTCAAGACCTGGGCAAGAAGAAGAGGCTTGAAATCACCTGTGTTAGTTCAGCAAGGGGTTGGGATGGGAGCAGAGCCCAGAAAATCCTTATCAGAGCAGCCTCCCCCTCCCAGAGGTGTTTTAGAACCCTTTGTGGAGCTGGGAGGGAAAGCAAGGAGTGAAGACAGCTCTGGTACCTAAAGGCAGGGCTTTAGTCCTTGCAGAGGCATGATGGGGTTTGAAAAGGCAAATTACAAACCCTTCCACATCATTTGACTTAGGCTCATTTTAGGATCCTTAAATCCTCAGTTTGGGAATTTTTGTCACTGGCAGCCCTGCAGAGATGCGGAGGCAAGGAGGGGGTGGCCACCACCAGCCACAGAAATGCCTGGGGTGGCCACAGGGGATTTCAAGGTGCTTTGGGGATGCAAATGGGCATAATGGATCCTCTGGCTGTAGTTTGAGCACTTTGTTGCTAGAGGAAGCAGCACACAGTTTCCCTGGGAGAGCAGGGAAGCCTCCCTGATGAGGTTTTCTTGGGAGGGTGTGTGTTCCTGCTAGCCCTGTCTCACAGGCCAGCCCCTTCTGATCACTGTCACATGCTTTGATGATGTTTCCAGCAACTGTTTCTGAGGCTAAAAGTGATATTTCATCAACTTGGCACTGCTCTGCCCTGGGCACAGAGTCAAGAAAAGCAGCCAAGGGGCCCTGGAGGGATGTTCAGGTCTCTGCCCGCTGTGCTCTGCTTGCTTTATTCCCTTTCCATTTTCTGCAAAGCCAGAGCTTGAATCCACATGGAAGATGGACACAGGAGTTCAGTGCAGCTCAGCTTTCAAGGTGCTGGGTGATGGCTCAGGCTCTGGGTTCAGCCCTCAGCAGGTGCAACAATGAGAAATGAGTTGAGCTCCCAAACCTTGAGGCACTTTGGGTGCAAAAACGTGCACCAGACCCACTTCTCTTTGGAGACATTTTAAATGCTGTAATCCCGTTTAATTATGGACTTTTTATATATAATTTTTCATGTGTAGATGTGGAACATGAGGCATGGTTTAGTGGTGGGCTTGGCAGTGCTGGAGTAATGGTTGGGCTCAAGGGTCTTTGAGGACTTTTCCAACATTAATGATTCTATGGTTTTATTTTTTTATTGTTACTAACTTTTTTACCATGACAAAAGTAATTCTGAAGTGCAACTGAAGAGCCCAGGCACATTTTCTCTGCAGGATGACTTAAAACCCTGTCTCTCCCCATCTTTTCAACTTGCTACAGCTTAAAACACATTCTAACTCCCTAGTTCTTACTCTCCATCAATCCTAGGAAATTTTTGGGTTACCTTTTGTTTAACTTCAGACTGAAATAGGGGGAAATTAGGTTATATATGCAAAAGAAATTCTTCTGTTTTGATTAGTGTTTGGATTTTATTCCTGTGCAGGTTTGGGGTAGAGTAATTCCTGTGTTCACATCTGATGGATTTCAGCGTTTTGGAAGGTGGGGAAGAAAGGAGATGGGCTTTGGAAAAAGAAAATCTGAATATAAAAAAGGCAAAGAGCCTGCCTAAGGCCTGGGGAAGCTTTTGGCTGTAGGAGCCCAAAAGCAAAGCTGAACTGGAAGGTCAATACTGATTTCTGACTCCCCCTTTTCTGTGGTGCTTATGCTGTGCTGAGCAGAGGTGGCACAAGCTCCTTCTGCTTTCCTGTGAGAAGGGAGGTGCTTGACCTGATGGCAAATCAGTGGCTGATATCAGGTATTTTTAAAATTTTATTTTTAAAAAATTATTTGGCAATTTCATTTGCACACAATCCACGTGCTCTGCTGTTTTGTTCCTCGCTCACCCGGTGAAGGATGCGAGATGCCATGGGCAGCCTGTGGTGGACCCAGCAGCATCTTCCCACGGAAAATTTATCTTTTAAATGAAATCAGTCATTTTAGTGGTGCCAGTACTTCTTGCCTTGCAGCCCAGCCAGTCCTCTCCCAGTTCTGAGACCTGCCAACTCATTTCCAAGGGATCCAAGGGATTTGCAGACAACCACTGCCATGCAACACTCTTCCTTCATCGCTCCTGGATGCATGGCAGCAACACCGGAGACAAACAAACTTGTGCACCGGGGTTGGTGACCCCCGGGGAAAGAGGTTCTCTTTGCAAAGATGGGGATGGGATTTAGTCCCAGGAGATGTGCACAGCCTGAGCTGGGGATGCCCTTTCTCAGCTTGCATTCCAGCCCTGCCCTGCAGACGCACTCAGAAAAGGCTGTGCTTCACCCAGGAGCGCTACTGACCACGGCTGCTCCTGCTCTTTCCCGCAGTGCTGGACATCTGCCGGCTGCAGAAGGACGAGGGCACCTGCAGGAGCTTTGTGCTGAAGTGGTACTACGACCCCGAGACCAAGAGCTGCGCCCGCTTCTGGTACGGCGGCTGCGGCGGCAACGAGAACAGGTTCAACACGCAGAAAGAATGTGAAAAGCTCTGCGCCCCTGGTAAGAGGCACCAGCCAAATCCCTGGCACTCCCCCTCTGCTGCGTGGGGTTGGGCTCTGGCAGTTACCTCGTTTATCTTTCCTCAATGTCCTGCACCAAAGCCTGATTCATTCCTTCTTTCCCCACTAGGCACCATCAACCCCGGCGCGGTGACGACAATGGGGACATAGAGCTGGGGGCTGGCCAAAACTTACCTCTGAGACAGCATCACCTTTGCCACCTTGTCCCTATAGAAGCTAAGGGTATAGACAACCTTGCACTGTAATATTTCATGCTTTTAACTCCCAAGCAAACCCCGAGGAGAGGGTTTTGCTGCATGACCTATCAATATGGTGCTAAACTGTTTGTGGACTGAGTGCTACACGTGCCCGGGTTATATTGTATAGCTTCAACATTGCCAAATATTTACCTAAGTGCAGATTGTTATTGTCTCTCAACATGTCTCTAAATTAGTCCTTTTCCCCCCCAATTCTGGCTGTCTGCCTATCTAAGGCACCATAAAAATGAGTAAAAAAAAAAAAAACCAACATAATAATTTCACTGCAACTCGTTACCTGCTTGCTTTTATCCTTCTCATAACTGAGTGTAACTTTACAGGGGAAGCCTTTGTGTAAGAGAGTGGCTGATACTGATAAACAAGTGATTCCATTTTCACTCTTCCTCTTTTTTAAAATTTTTTTTCTCCTTTTGCTGGATTCGATCTCAGACTAGATCTCTTGTATGCATTTGTACCACATGTGGCCAACTGAACTAGCAAGGAAAAGGAAGCAAAGTTTCCAAATGCAAATGCACTGCTGGGACCAAGGCCTCAGTTAACAAATCTTTAAATTGTGGTGTAGGATGCCTCTGGCATTCTTCTGATGTTGTATGTTTTATAAAATACAAAGCAAAGCAGTTTGGGAAGGGGGAGCAGCGGGAGGGAGGGGGGTTTTATTTTTATTATGGATTCTGTGTCAGGAAGTCTATACAAAGAACTTTTAAATAAAGTCTAATGGAGGTTTTGAGAAACTTGTGGGTTTGTCTTGTTAAAGCCAGTGTGAGTATCAATGGAATAAATTTCCAGGGTCAGGAAAGAAATTATCTGGGGGGGGGGAGGGGGGGAAATCCCACTGTTCCTCAGAGGGAGGACAGATGTAGTAAGGATATTCAGGGGGACAGCACTGAGAGGCTGCTGGCAACCTGGAGATTTCCAGCTTGGAAAAAAGGTGGAAACAGAGATGTCTTGGTTGTGAAATCTCCATCCTGAAGGAATCTAAACTCAGCTGGACAGAGCATTTAGCATGACCTGAGCCAGTCCTGGGTGTCCCTGTGTGACTCAATGACCCCATAAGTATTTTCATCTCCTTCACTTTCCACAGCCATGATTTTTACCCTTCCTCTCCTTCTCTGAGCTCACCCAAAGAAGCTACAATTCCCAGAAGCAATTCACATTGCCCTGCCCCTTCAAAAATCCCCCCTGAAAGCAGAGAGCAGATGAAAGTGGCCACCCAGGGCACAGGGAGCTCGGGGCTGTGGGGCTGGTGTCCTCAGTTTCCCCGAGCCTCCGCAGGGCTTGATAATGCTTCCCATGGCCTGCTGGAGGTGCCCAGAAGGAAAATGGAGCCTTGCAGGCTCATGCCACGGAGAGGGCAGCTGGAACACCAAAACCAGGGCATTCGTGAGGGAGAACTGGGAGAGGGCACTGACTTCTGGAAAACTGGGTCGGAATGGTTGAATCTTGGGAAGGAGCCCCTTGCCATTCAGGGCTTCTCCAGGTGCTCTTCCACAGGTCAGGGTGGGGCTGGCACGAGGAGAAGACCACCTGAAAGCAGCTGTCCTGCTACTTTGTGAAGCACTGCGGGCAGGTCCCACGACAGGAGATGTTCCACGCGTGTTGCACACACAGCAAGGATGCCCCCGGAGGCTCTCCCAGGGGGATTTGCCTGACTGAGTTACTGAGCTACGCATGATCCGCAGGGTGAGAGCTCACAGGGCTGCTCTGGGCTTTGTCCTCGTTGGGGATTTCCACTCCAGGCATCCCGTTCTTGGCACGAGGAGCAGCCCAGAGCCTAAAACTTCCCGTCAGCACCGAGCCGCTTGCGTGGGGACAGGGACAGCTCGCTGCGGATGAGCCAAGCCGCGCAGCTGAGCCGGGGGAACTGCGCTGTTTACTTGGCACCTTCCCCGAGCACACAAGGGCTTCATTAGATAGAGAGGGGAACGGGTAAAGTTCATTTATTTATTTATTATTGTAACTGGCTCTTGCAATGGCTCCCAGGGGTTCAGGAGCCTGCCCTGCACGCACTGGGCATGGCCAAGCTCCCCCTTTTCTGCTCTCACGCGGTTTAAAAGCTGCACTTAGATAAAAGCGACCTTTCCCTCCGTCCTCCCAGCCCTGTGCAGCACGGGAGAGGTTTTCCCAATGCCTGCGCCGCCTCCGCTTCCCGGGGAAGCGCCTTTCCCCGGCCCCTGCAGCCCTCCAGGGTGCCGGGCACAGCCCGAGGATGCCCAGCGCGCCGGGGCAGAGAGAAGCTCGGGAAGGGGCCCCTCATCCCCTCC